TCCGTCCTGGCTTCTGTCAGTCCGTATATCCGGTCATCTATCCATGTGTTGGTGGCCGTGAGTCGGGTAGACAGGCTGTCGTCCACCGTCTATTTCGCTGGAGAAGAAAAAACATTGGCACAGAGGGAGCCGGCGGCGGCGGCGGCCGCAGCAGCAGCCTACAATCAACTTGTGTCTAACCGCTCGGACGCAGTCGACAAGGCGTAGGGCGGGTCAATCTGAGGGTTCGGCCTGGAAGATGAATTACATGGTGTCGAAAATCTGTCGACGGCTTTGTCGGGAGATCTCTTCTGAGGGAAAAATTTCTTCTCTCCTCTTATTCGCCCCCGTCTTTCTGGAGCTAAGGTGCCGCGAGTCGTCCGAGAATCGAGCGGATACTCGTCGAAGTCCGCCCTCCTCGACTCGACCCGATTGATCGAGTGCCCATCGAGTCGCGAACAGTCGTCCGGGCGGCACGCGCGCGTCCCATGGCTTGTTAATGGTCCGATAAGCGAACAAAGAGCGGTCAGAGTCGTCTCGATTCTATTTTCCGGGATCATTTCTGTGCTCGTTCCTATTGCAGTCGAGAAACTCCTATCCATCTGTCCACCTCTCTTCTCGGAAAGCAATCGCGTCCTGTGTTTTTAATCTCGTCCGACTCACCCTCCCCCCTCTTATTGACGCAAACCCTTTTCCGTGCCATGGAATCTGCGACTCTATTCGACCGAACCGGGAATCAAACGAATGCCACTCGCTGCGTGCCGATGCAGGATAGTAAGTCCATTCAAGGTCGACCGAGTGATTTCTCTCGAGTCTCTGGACCTCCCCGTAAGGGCACCAGTGGAACCTAATTACGGCTTCGCGAATGCAATCCACGTTCCCAGCTTCTCCAAATACTATTCCCAGTGTCTCGGCTCACGGAGGTGGTCTCCCCTGTGGTAGTGGTGGTGCTTAATCGAATGAGTAAGTGAATGGATTCGGGTGATGGAGTTCCCCGCAGGCAGCGGTCATGTGTCAGGGGGCTACTCCTAATTATAGTGGCAATCGCAGGATTATCCGATTGTTTCTTCCCCTCTGCGGCTCCCAATCGAAGCGCCGCGACGTTGCGTTCAGTCCCGGATCGAAATACGGTGCGCGATTTCTATCGATCGCCGAAAAGTCGGAGCCTCGCGGGTCGACTGCTCCACAATCATGCGTGACGATCTGAATCAATTTCGCGGGGAGGGAAATGAAGGGCAGAGGACGGGCTCCACGGCTCCGAAAGACGCCGCTCTACGTACACCGGCTCTTAGTAGTTTCGCAACTGACCCGCACGCCGGCGTGCTTCGATGACGCAGATTTTTATTCTGATAGTGATGAGCATCAAGAGCTCGTCGATTATGTCAATGCCGGGAATAGTCGAGTGCACGCTCCGGCGTCGTCGGCGGAGCAGTGGAGAGGAACTCCTATGGCCTTCATCAGAGTCAATGGGATGAATACGTTCAGTTGAACGAAGTCACCCGAGCGTGGGCGACTCTCCTGATGGAAAAATGAGCTACAAAGTGGTCCCCACCGTGCTTCTAACAGGCCGTCGGCGACGAGCGCACATGAGTCGAACAAAGATCGGCTTTTCCATAAACCGATCTCCTTTTTTTGTCCTAATTTCCCCGGCTCGCTCGCTGCATCTATTCATGCACTGATCGGCAGCGACTAACGCAAAAATTATGGTGATTCGCACACCGGTCCGTCCGCGTGCTCTCGTGCGAGTGAGCGAGCAAGTCGCGTCGACCTCGATCCTGGATCAGGCACCGGAGCCGTTCGTCGAATTTACCTAATTCGAGATTGGAAAAAAACGGCGCGTCACAGTGTAACGGAAGAGTCGCGGGAGCTGTTGAATCATAATTAGTCACTCAGAGGGCGCGCTCTTGAGTAAAAAGCGTCCACCATACGACGGAACTTTTAATCAATCGCCTGCTCGAACCTTCAATCTTCTAATTCTCCAATCCTCTCTCCGACAGCCAGCGAACAGCTCACGGCTTGCGTGCAATGGTTTCGTCTTGCGCGTTCCAGCCTCAGGGTCGGCTCGATACCTTCGGCCTGTCTGCGCCTTTTCGGCTTATTCCGGGCGAATCGTGTGTGACCTGTCTGTCGAAAACGAGCCATCGTGCTGAGGGAAAGCTCCGCGCAGGGAGATAGAATCGCAATGAAGCACTCGGACGGAACGACCGCGGATGGGACGAAAGCTCGACAGGGTGATATCGGCCGACTTCGAAGGCGACTCGATATCCGAATGTTAGTTTCGGGGCGAGAGGGCTTGAGCTCATGCTTTTCAAGTTGTTCACTGGAAGCACGTATGAACAATGGCAGCAGCAGCCGCAGCAACAACGACGTTACGCTCCGTTCATTGGCTCGCGAGCTCGGTGCAAGAGTTGCGTACAACGGAAGCAACAACGTTGTACAAACCGATGGACCGCAAGTCCCGCTAACTTAGGAGCACACGGAACACCGTTTTCACGCAGTTGACGCGCTACTTGCAGGATCTGAAAATGAAGCACGGCTCGAAAGGAGCTCGGGGAAGGTTCGGGTTCTCGCGGCAAGGCGAGCCGCGCATGCGGGATGCGGGAATGGTGAGGCACAGGGACGGATGCTGGAGTAGAGGGCTCGACTACGTTCGAGGTGACTTCCATCTTTGGCGGAAGCCGGACTGAATGAGACGAGGACCTCAGCTGCGCCCGAGAGCTTCCCGCGATACAGCTCTTTAGCAGCTCTCTTCAGGCGACTCGCACTTGACGACACTCAGCTGTAGACGGAGTCACGGAGAGAGCCGCAACCGAGCGTCTAAAGCACTCCCTTTCGGCTCAAGCCCCGTCGATGGGCCACTTGTCCTGGTCTGTGTCGGTTCCCAACCAATCGATTTTCCCCACCCGATATGATGGTAGAAAGAAAGTCTACGTCTGAAATGATCTCGTGGTCGGCACCCCCTCCTTTTTCTTTCCCTGTGCAGGGCTCCGCCCGAGTCTTTCCCGTTCTTTGCTCTGGGAGGGGAGGGCAAGCTGCTGCTCCGGACACACGGGAAGCGCTGGAGTAGCGAGTCTGCTGTACCTCAACGTCTCGTGTCTCACTCACGAAGTCAGTCAGATAATCTCCATCTCTACCCGGTAGGCTGATGACGCTCCAACTAGGCAGGCCGGAACAAGTGATGAAGACAAGGCTTATGCAAGGGCTGAAATCGCCTGAGAGCTCGTTCCCGCGTGTTTCACCCGCGGGAACGGAGTCAGCCGCTGGAATCAAATGCTCCATTGCGGGAAGCTCCGTGAGAGCTTAATTAAAGGCGAGGCGGAGATTTCGCAATCTACACCTCGTTGAATAGTTGATCCGAAGCTCGAGCTCTGTTTCAGCAGACTATCTAATGAAATTTCAGCAGCCAGGAAGAGATGCTGGCATTCACGTTCTTGACGGAGTTCATGTGCATAAGTACAACAGCATCGACCCCCGCGAACAGAGTCTCCGAGTATTTTTTTTTTAACCTGGATATCCAAGGGAAGTCCGTCGTTCGATTTATTCACCGCATGTGCGATCGATAAATAGTATAAATGATAAGAAGAGTCTCTGAGTATGAGCAAGCGAGTTTCTGGCTCGTGCTGCGATTGTTTCCCGCCGCGGATCGAGCTCCGTCCGGCTCGTTTGCGGCGAGCCCCGTGAGCATCGATGAAAGCCCAATCCAGTTCGCGATCGCCTACAGCAGGGGTGTCGAAGAGGTGGCCCGCGGCCGATCCTCGGGAATTCCGTAGCACAATATCCTTGTAATTTTCGAGTCGCGAATAGAACGAGTCGTCTCTGAAAAATCGAGAATCGATTGTGACCCATCATGCATATACATACATAGGTGTTTCCCTCCAGCTTTCCGCGCAAACAATGTGGATTAAGAATAATGCCGAAAAAATCTTTGGATGTGGCCCGCCGGCTTCTCCCAGTGCTCCTTCTTGGCCCGCCGAAGATTTGACTTTGACACCCCTGGCCTACGGCTTGGGGAAAGCGACGGATGGGACACTGTTCTTGGGCTGACTTCTTAACGAGCCAACAAGTAAAATATTCCGTTTATCTAAAGATGTGAAAGAGAATGGGAAAAAGTAGGAGATAGCTTCGAAGATAGAGACTCAATCCGGGAGAGCTGAAAGCAGAAGTGGCGACTTGCCACTCTGCCGCTGCGATGACCCTCGCGCGGTAGCAGTTCCTATAGGGCTCTCTTTCGGGTGCCGAGTGTTTCTCTCTCTTTATCCTTCCGTCGAGTTTGTTGCCTCCCTCTCTACTCTTTCCTCTAATGATTGGCCGACGAGCACCACGGATGCCCACCGTGAGAGTCGGACTTCGCTTCTCTCTTCTATCCCACGTGGTTCACGAACCTAGAGTTCTCATGAGTCCGCCAACGAGCATTCCTCCGGCAGCACTCACGATCGAGTTCAGCTTTCTTAGGAGAATCTACGATGAGGCTTTGCCGGGGGAATATCTGCAGAGTGCACATGCGTGCTCTGGCAATCACAGGATCGAGTATCACAATCTCTCTGTCGGTCGGAGGGGTAGCGGGGAAATTGTGTGGATAAATACGAAAACAGACATGAGGCATGAGGGAGCTGCACTTCGCCTCAGTTTCGCCGAGGTCCTTCGATTTCTCGTGGAATCCGTCTTCGAGGAGATGGGAGGAATCGGGAACGCGACGTCCTGCCTTCCGTCTGTGAATCGCATGCCCAAGCTGAAGCGGAACGAACCAACCCGCTGCCCGGCCTCTCACGGGCTCTACGAGGCTGTCGAGGTCCCTTTGCGGAGAAGTGACGTTTGCGAGGTTTTCCTCCCATTGAGGAAATGCCGCACCTCTCGACGGATTCGCGAACAAACGAACGTCCTCGCGTGATATATGCTGCCTGTCGAATTCGTCGGAACACCTCCAGAAGCTTTTTCATGCAAGGGGAAAAACGCCAAGAGTATCAAGAAGGAACAGTCGCACGTTTTTTCCTAGATTTTTATTCCAATGATGGATGAGGTTTTCTGCTTATTTCTTAGAGGCATTCCCCGTCGGAATCTTGATATCCTACTACTTCGTCATATGCATACCTCCCTAGAATATCTTGTTTGCTCCCGTCGAACATAATTGCACAAATGCCGAATAAAAACCAGATACTTAACAAGCAAGGGAGGAAATTCTCTCACAATGCGAGCGCATTGGTAGCCCTAAAAGAACCAATGTTCACACTTCCCCGCCTCGCTGAGACCAAGAGGAAGGTCTCCGTGGTAACCAACCATTTGGAATACACGGAGCCTCGACTGTGAATTTTCTAAACATGCTTCCATTCCGGAGGATGGCTCTCCGGACCGCGCTGAGCGGAAAAACATCGATCCGACGTCCGATTCCATCAGAGACAGTTTGAGACTCGAGTCGCGTTCCCCCGGTCCCGATTCCAGATACAGAGCAGTTGAAAAACTTCGCTTCCTTCGCGTCATTTAGTCCGCTTTCACTATGCCTTCTTCTCTTGTTACGGCTCTCCGGACCTCGCAGTTCGCAAACAGTGTCAGAATTGTTTGATGCCGCCGTCGGTTGCGAATCGATATGCAGTCCCTCCGTGCATCTTCGGAGCTTTACCCCTCCAAAAACGTAATTCTCGACATGATTTTCCAAGAGATGCTCCAATGAGATGAGTTTCTATTCGGCGATGAGCTTTTCGCGCTCCGAAATGACTTCATTGGCCAAGAGGTCCTTGATATTACCACTTTCGGACCGTAGGAATACCGCCAGATCGAAGCCGTCGACCGAAGGTCGAATGCAAAACGACTGCAAGACCTCTGCGGGGCCGTCGCAGAGGATGATTTTCTGATTGAGCTTCGTGACCGCGACCACCTGTCGCGGTTCTTCACTAGTTTCCAATCCGATGACGTCATGGCAAACGACGCTGCATGCGTGGCCGGACGGATCGATTTGTACGACAGACTTTCCGAGTTGCGCGAAGAGATTCATCCTACAGGAAACAATGGCGACGGGGAACTCAAAGTCCGACTTAGTCTCGTGCAAATTGTTGCTGTGCTGTTTCAGGGCGCATAGTTTTTTGTTTCTCCCATCCGGCGTTTCCAATTCAATTTTCAGCTTAATCGTCAGCGTATCGTTCCGGTGACGGAATCCGGCTCGCGCGCGGATGTAGAACGGTTCGAACGAATCTCGAGGCTGCGCGAAATTATCTTGGAAGATCTTGTTGAAGAGAAGTCTCTCGGAGATGGGCGCTTTGAGAAATTTGTAGCGAATGCATCTAGCGAAACTCAAGGGGATGTCGCCCCCGTTCCTGTCCGCATACTCCTCGACGAATGCACCAACTTCATCCTCGGAGAACACGGCGAGACAATCCTGAGTCAAGACGTCTCTGAGAATGTCAACGTCAAGGCTGTGCATGAGCTCTCTACGCTGGAAGTTCCTTGCCAAAACAACGCAGATACGATCGTATAGGCTCTTTAATTCGAATCGGCGGGCGTATCTGATGAGTTTTTGAACACTCGCTTCGTCCAAGTCCGCGCACTTATCGAGCAGTTCCTTAGCTCCCGCCTCCGATAGACTCGTGTAGCCCAATCGATGCGAGGTGCTCAGCAAACTCAGGAGCTCGTAATCCTCGTCTGGGAGACGCGAAGTGTAAATGAACCATATGAGATTCCTAATGTCCTGCAGTCGATATTCCTTGAAATCGATCCTGAAGCTCGAGCCGCCGTCCAGGAAACCCGACCACGCGCTACGAAGAATTTCTTGGTGCGGTGCCACCGTACCATCACGGCACCTCAACACGACGCGGTCGCCTTCCGAGTTGTTTGCGGTGAACTGACTTCTGAGGACCCGTATCCGTCCTTCGTCTATTTTGTGCACTTCGAAGCGAGCTGACGCTTCCAGCGAGTCATTTGTGGGAGCGCATACTCTGAGTTGGAATAGACTGAGTTTCTTGAAGGAGCGGTCGGATTGACGAACTAGTTTCCATCCGGCGCTCCGGAGCTTTTCCGATCCTTCAGTTAATGCTAAGTACCGCTTGGAATTTTGCACACCCATTCCTTGAAGTGAAAAATAGGAAGGATAAGCTCAGCCTAATCGGGATGACCCTCTCGGACTAGTAGGGAAGGCTTCATGAGGGGATAAGAGTAGATATAGTTTCTGCCGAGCTCATCCGTTGGGTGAAGCTGTTCTCAACATACCCCGGATCAAGTAGAGATGCGGAATCCGATGCAGAGAGGACGAATTTCCGAGCAACGGGTAGAATGCGGATAACAGGAGATTTTCGAACGAAAAATCAACCTTCGACCACCGAGGTGTGTTTACATTCCCCTTGGCCGCCTGTCGGAATCCTCCGGGAAGACGCCTCTATCTGCACCCAACATTGTTTGAGCGTTGCACGTTGCCGACATTCTTGACGTTATCCCCGGGAGGATCCAAAGCTGAAAAGCTAACCCCCCGTGTGGGTCGAACAAGCCTGTATTTCTCGGCTTCGCAGTTGCGAATATGGAAGAAATATTAATCCCCAGACCCCTGAGGGTCGTCCAATACGGTGCATTATCCCGAAAAAATTAAGGGTGTTCGCGCGGGCAACGCTCGCGCTCTTGATCCTATTTCCTCCCAAATCCCCGTTCACTGCCTCGTCCCTTCGCTACCGCGCTTGCTTCATTTCAAAAATGCGTGTTCCTAATGGAATCTCATCCGTGTCCCGTGCCGCATCATGGGGTTTGCCTCGACGCAGCCACTCTGCGGCCGCCATGTGGCCTGCTGCCCGTCCGACCGCTCGTTTGTTTGGCCGGCTGCCGTCGAGAGAAACAGGCAATCGAGACCGGAGCAAAACGCCGCATTCCTGCGTCAGAAACTTCTAACGCGACGACAACAGCGTCGATAATAGCCCTGGATACGCGTGAAGAAAAAGAGCTGGGTGATGACAACTACATAGGACAACAATGGGACATGGGCGAGTCATCTTCGTTTTTCCGTTTCTTCCGTCGCCGCAGGAGTGTCGGGAGACGAGTTTCCTTGGAACCATGGGCTTCTATTCTTCCTGCCAGCCGATGCTGCTCTGCCGCTGCATGTTGTGCAGTCGAGTGTCTACGACTCTTCACTTTACCAGTCCTATAGGTTCTAGAAAATGCAGACTGTGTTCTCCCGCGTCATCAATAGGCGATCGGTGAGCTTCAGGGAGCTGTTCCGCTCAGCTTCCCACTCTCGGAACGCTCTGAAGCCAGTCTTCGAAAGTTGACTGGAGTTTCTTATTCGCTCGATGCCCTGGATTGATGATCGAACGTGATCGCACGAGGAGAGGTTGTCAGTGTTTGTCGCGTCAGAGTTTACGGGGGTCCACAATGAAGGAGGATCTGGAATCATTGAGTTGGAACGTAGGTGGAGCGAGCTCCGTCATCCAACCTATCAGGTTTTCCCTCCGAGCTCGGCTCCATATTCTGCATTCGAGTCCTGCTTGGGTGTAGGTGTATGGATTTATCTGGACAGGGAGACGTTCCGACGTACTATCCAGAAATTCTCGACTGAAACCCTCTGTCCGGTTGCCCTTTCTCCCGTCTGCCTTCGTCAGCAGCGCTTTCTGCCTGGGGCCCGATGGAGCTCTAACCCAGAACTTTGTGAAGTGAAGCACAGGAGCGGGTCGCCATTTTTTTCCCTTAGCCCCAAAGAAAATCCGACCCAGCTTCCCCCTCAACAAAATCCTTGGTAAGTCCCTGGCCGTCGTTGATCAAGAGCGTCCATGCTCGGTCCCTGCTCCCCTCCTAAGCATCATTTCCCGTCAGCAGTGGGCGTTCACAAATCAGTCGACCTCGAGTTCTCCCCAAATCAGCTAGCCTCTCTGAGGCTTTCCGGGTGTCGGCGTTCCTATTTTCCGGAGTGATTCCGGAATCAGCTGAGGCACTTGGAATCCAAGACTCCGTCTCACACACTCGGAGGGACGCGCCAACTAGCATTGATTGTTATTTATCAGGAGATGATCGAATCGGCGTTTGTCGGGAAACGCTTCGAAGTAAGACCTCCCACGTTGGGAGCCCCATGAATGCGTGATAGCTCATCCATCAAGGGACAGAATAGGCTGTCATCGGACGATATAATGCACGTCACACTGACAGCCCCGAATCCGTATTCCCGGGAAGGGATCTTGTTGCGGAGCCTGTTCCAAGACACGCGAAAGATGATTTTTGTGCGCGTCCATTGAGCGTTTTTTATTCCCGAAATCTTTTCGGCGGCTTCGCGGAAGTTTGCCGGAATTCGAGATGCTTAGTTTCTACTCTGCCCCATGTTCCCTTCAGAGTTTGCTGTATGATGTTCCATTGAGTGCGTTCCGCACACAGAAGTGGACAAAGTTTATGCCCTTCATCAAGAATTCCGCCAAGGGTTCCAGGCCTGCAATCACGAGAAGAGGCGGTATAGGAAGATCGAATCCGAATCACACCCCTGGGAAGCCCAGAAGCAGAGCGTATGGAGCCGGGGCATTATATTCTGCTCACCTTTTATGCACGGAGTGAAAAAACTGACGAAAATGTAGATTCCCGCACAGAACGCGGCAACTTCCCAAGCGATAAAAATGAGCAAAATAATCCAGATAACGGACCAAAGAAGACTCTCACAACTCCGTGCCATAATCACCACAATTGAACTTCTCGAGGGATGAGAGACCCGCTCGCGGTGGAATTCGAGAACACTGTTCCTCTGTGTGAAAGCGAGTGAGACTTTAATACGAGTCGGCAATCGACGCTATCGAGTTACTTCATCCCGTTATCCCCGTGATTAACGAAACTGATTAGTGAGGGTCAAAGTTTGGAACACCCGAGTATTTCGAGAAGTGACTTACGACTTCCGGGCGATTGGGTAAGCGTTGCGCGGATATGTTCGATGAGCAGTTGCAGTTGACCGCCTGGACTTTTTCAACTCACGCCAGGAAATAATTTCCGTGAAATTTGCTGTTCCTTAATCCATTCGCACCCGTCAACTTTCGTCGACTTTGGTGGGAACCGAGGGGAACAGGAGCCGCCGGGGAGAACCACTCGATCTTCCTTACGGACTTGTTGACAGTCTGCGAGCTCGCAGTCAAGACGTCAAATCATGACTCGCAGCTCGCGAGAGGATGCCGCGTGACTCGGAAAGTGGAATCCGGGATAGATAAGGCGAATCGAATTGAATTCCGCAAGTAGACGTGGCCATGAAGGGAGTTTCCACGATCGCCCTGCGGCCCAGTCATCCACGCGAATGATGACGAAAGGTATGAATGACGTTGAATCCAATCTGCTGATTGCACCGGCTCGTGGACGTTCTGTTGTCTTTCAGGTTCATCGCCGCCAATTATTAGGAGAGCGCAATGAGCTCCATTCGAGGGAATGGGAAATCAGTGGAAAGATTCGGAATTCGTACAGAGATGAATGCAGGAATTTTATAGGAACTTCATACAGCGATTGACCGATCAAGCTTCGAGTCCGAATTCCCTAAGCACAGGGCGGGGAAGCAACGAAGGCATCCCCAGCCCTTCACCGGCCGAGAGATGTAGCTTGTCAGGTCACTCCCGCCGGCGTCGCTAGTGTTCACAGACTCCATTAGTCGAGTTTGGAGGTCTCGTCCGCGAAATAGTTCATCCTGGGATACGGGGGGATGATTCTGGAATTTCGTGGAAGCGATCGTGTCCCCATGGGGATGAGGATACGATGGTGAAAGGAGCGATTAAGGCGAAGTCCTGCTCCCTCTTTGATGAGGAGGTTGTCTATGCCGAGTGAAATCCAATAATATCATTCTCCTACATCGCTCCCCCGCGTTCTATCCTCCTTTGTTTGTGCTCCATTCGGACGCCGGTATTGAGTTTTAGGACGAAATCCTACGTCGAATTCATCCAGACTCTGGAGGGTCGTGCAATACGGTGCATCATCTCGAACAAGGTCGAGGGTGCTTGTGGAGGAAGCGCCCTTGATCCTGTTTCCTCCAAAATCCCCGTTCGGTGTTCCCTTGCTTCCCTCGCTCGCTTTATTCCAAAAAACGCATGCTCGTAATGGAATCTCCCCCTTATCCTGAAACGCTTCATAGGGTTCGACTTTTGCGCGCTGCCGCGCGCTCGCTAGGTGGCCCCCGGCCCGTTGGACCGCCCGTCTGTCTGGCCGGCTGTCGACAAGGGAAACAGGCAATCAAGACCGAAGAATAACGCCGTCATCGCATTCCTGCATCGTAAGCTTCTCATGCGCCGACAGCAGCGTCGATAGCAGCATCAATAGATACGCGAAGAGGAAGAATGGGCGCTTGTCAAGCTCACCGGGGCGAATTGTACGACTCATCTCCGTAATTCTATGTTTTCCGCCTCCGTGAAGCTATCGAACAAGCTGGAGCAGAGGAACCGAGGACCTTGGCGTCGGATAGTCTATAATGATCAAAGATCGGGGGCCTCTACTTGATTGCTCCAAAACCTAGCTTCGTAGCTCCAGCTGGAAAGCGTGGACCTGCGAGAACGGGTCTGATGCCAAAGAGATTTCGGAAACCGGAAGTGAGATCTCGGGGAAGCGAGAAAAATTCCGACAATCCCTCAGTCTTCCGCACAGCTCTCCAACTCCCGCGTGCAGGTCTTCAATCGAAGAGATTAGGATACCCCCAGATGTCGCAAAAATTTCGTTTCGGGGTAGGTTGGAGGGGGCGGTCCGCCCAGGCATCAAGTATCTTCGGGTATTTTGCTCCCGTACAGAGGCGCTAAAAACCCCGTATGCTGACAGAAAGGAGCTTGTCGGCTGGTGGTTTCCTTCGACGAGCCTTGCATTCCTCCGACACGCGAATTTCGGGGGATGAATTTGGAGAAAGTAAGAAAACAGAGCGAGGCCCTGGATCGAGGTGTAGGCTGGGGCAATGAGAAGAACTCCGCTCCGGGCATCATATTAGCGTAGAAGCCCCGTACGCCACTTGGTCACAGAGGAGAGCTTGCAGATTGCTGTGTAGGATGGTTGGCCATGCGTATTTTTCGGCGCGCCCGTCAGCGTCTTCCGTTCATGAGTTGTCCGTCTCTGAAGACGGACAATGACGTGAGCACAGCAGCTACTCTATCCGATCTCCCGACCATCACGATCTCGAAGACTCATCGCGGACCATGAAATACTGATCTCAAGAGCTTCGTCTGGCGCGAGATTTCTCGCGCTGAAGGATTTCCATACGAATGACGTTTTCACGCGATCGAGTTTGCTTCCCCGGATATTCCCCCTTTGCAAGCGCTCGGCCAGACGTTCAGCGTCTCATCTGACAGGGTAAGCAGCGAAATTTGTATGAAGGGCTGAAATCGATGAACATTGTTGGTTGAAGTGGATCAGGTCCCATTCCCGATCTCGAATCGTTCCCTCTCATGAATGATCGATTGTGTACTCGCGTTGGAAGAGACGGAACAAGGATTGTGATTTGTTTTTCCGAGGGAAAGGGTTCCGAAGCGTTCCAAAGCCGTAACAATGCCACGTGCTTCTTGTCCTCGGCAAAAAAGTCGGAGCGCTTTCATTAGAGATCTGGACGGGTCAAAGAGAGTCTTTTAATTTCCATTAGCATGACTTCGGTGGGTATGGTTGCCGAGCCCCGATTGGTTGCATGCGCTGTAATCAGCGGTGATGGGCCTTGATAGTTGTTGTGGGTGAGTAGGAGCGGGTCTGATAAGAGCTCACTGATTCCTTCGACGGCCTCTGAGCTCAGTGAGAAGCTTCTTCAAAACTTTCGTCCCCCGATCGGGGCGTCCTTGTCGGGAAGTCCTCCCTGACACGCTGCCGTCGGATGGCTCGGTAATATCTTGCCTGATGGATACTGGGATCACCTTAACGCTTGTAAGTGAGCCTTCACCGGTGCGAGGGAGCGACAGCGAAGCGTTGGCGTTGCAAAGACCGGATCGGTCCACACTAATGGCTCATTCCGGGGAAGATCCCGCGATTGATGGTAGAATCCTGCCGCATCTTCGAGGAACTCAACACACCCCTTGGAATTCTGGTTGACGCAGTAACACTATTTGCTACGGATTCTGCATCAGGGCAAACATTTGCCGGATTCGAATGACTTCTCCCAAGGAGACGTCGTAGATCGTGGTTGAAACTAGTTGAGAGTACTCGGCCAACGATTCATATACAAGTCTCGTATCCCTGGGACTGCTTCCGTGCTCCAAGGAAGCCATGAGACGTCGCAGAAATATACCATTTACTGCTCCTTGACAGAGTGTCGACTCAGGAGATCACCCCGCTGAAATCTGCTGGCTCATCGGTTGCGAAACCAACATTCGTTACTTCGGTTGTTGCTTCGGGTGGATATACGCTGATCTTCTGGGATCAGCATAGCGCTGACAGCGTACATCAGCAAATGACGTGACGATTTCAGGTAGTCGCTCGAGATTCATCATAAAGCCAATGAACTCTTCTCGTGAATGCTCTCGCGGCGGCGGTCGGAGGTGAGATGTTCTGCTGTCACGGGGGAAAAACGTTCAGTCTGAATGTCACGGCCGACGCCGGTCAGGTCCGGGGACCCTGGAGGGAGGTTCCGAGCTCAGAGCTGCCGTGCGACTTGTGAGCTTCTACGAGCTGACCCTCCCGGAGGCGGAGGTTTCCAGCAGAACGATCCGAATGCCTCCATGTTTCCGGAGCCGTCAGTCCCGCGGTGCTGTCAGTGACTGTCAGGGACCACGGATCCATTTGCTCATCGGTTCGGTCGGGACCTTTCTTCGCGGACTGAGAATATCCTCAGCGCCCCGACGTTGGAATATTCTCGACACCGCAACGGCTTTCATTGTCACGGCGAGAGACTTGATAGGCTTATTCCGAAAACGGCGCGGTAGATCTGATCCTCGAAAGCCATGAGTAACGTTCACTTAAACGCCCGTTCCGAGATCTCAAGGCCTCTTTCCTGGATCCCGATGCGTAGCCCCCCATCCTTCCGGAACTTCGGTTCTCGTCGAGAAACTGGATTCTTGAGTGCGTGACCGTCGGCGCCGTGAACATAGAAGGGAAAAAGCGGCAGCGGACGTTTGCTCGCGTGCTATGAATATTCGGTCGGACCTGAAGGCCGCCTACGCAGTCGTTTGCAGCCGCATGTGTTCCCGGAGAGCGTACACCTTCTGTAGGCGAAAATTGAGCGCATACTTCAGCGGAGAATGCTTCAAAAAAGGGACAGCATCGGAGGAAGATGGGGTGGCTCGCCGTCATCATCTCATTCGGGCCCCGAACCTGCGGGGCCGTCTCCTGTAAATACTCCGCCGGCTCTCGTGCCCGTCAAGAATTGCATCGAATTCGCTCCTTGCATCCATTCTTTAGAAGAGGCAACATGATGGCAACAATGACCGGGTGTCTGACGGAGTAATATTCGATATCGGTGCCAAGGTGATCAATCACACATTCCTGAAGGTTCAGCTGCGGGGCTCCGATGAAGGCCACCCATAGACGGATGTGGAAGGGTGTAGATATGCTTCAATCCAATACTTGGACATACACTGCCCATCGATGCGCAGCCTCACGAGAAGCTGATATTCATTCTTAGGTGTCGGTCTTGGAACGAAGCTCTTTCGATGTCTTGTCCGGGATACCGGCATGTTACTCGCAGATCAAGGTCTCCTTCGGTCTTGTCAACTTAACAAACTTTGTCAGAATTCTCGAAAGGAATGAGGTGCTCGTCAGTCGCGCGGGTGAATTGATCGAGCGCCGAGATTATTGGTAGTAATTCCGAGTTTATGACAGATCGAGGGTGGGCGATTTGAGGAGACTCGTTCTCCTCTCGTATGGCTCATATCAGAGCGCGAAACAGATCTTATCATCAATGCCGTGATTTAGGGACCCTCGACCGCGAGCGAGAATGCATATTGACAGCAACTGTCTCTGAGCATAATAATGAGAGATCGCAATGGAGATCATCATGGTTCACACTACCGTTGTTCCGCAACTTCATATCACTCCGGAATTTCATCCCGTTCTTTTCTCGTCTAGGATTCTTCCCATCCTCGTTGTGCATGCTCATCGACACGAACACCTGCAAACGAATACGTTGCTCTGAAGGAGCCCGTCCGGCAAGCTTCCTGAACTATCATACGATTTCAGACCCCGATTGACGTGAATGCACTCTGATCGCGTACCACGAAGCACAACGCGAGGTCGTGCGAACCCGAGCTGTCGTCGCGGCGGAGAGAAGAATCACCTTGCTCGCACCGAAAACTGTCTTCGCTGTATTCGCAGAGTTCGTCCATTCCTCGACTGATTGATGTTATTCATTATCTGGCTTCAGGCCGATCACGATCATCTCGTGATATAATATAATATTGCATTCCGAGCATGGAAGACAAAATTCTGAATTTTGGTACGTGCATCCGGCATGATGTATGACGATTATTCTCAGACGGACATTACTTAGCTGGTGAATACCACCAGACTACGAAATGTTATAATTTATCATATAGGTTTAACCTTTTGTTTGCCTCTCGATCTGGCGATAGACATCCCCAGCCGTAATCATTGCTCATGAGAACCATAGGAAATGGGAAATGACCTCCTGTCAGTGGCGTCCCCAGGATTTTTCTTGGAGGGAGGCTAGATCGGGTCTTCCGAAATGAATGGCTATAGACCCTCTAGCCCTCCTGCGGACTCTCATCAAAGATGAGAATTTCAGTGAAACGTATGTTTCCGCTCGAGATTCAAGAAGAAAAAATCAGGACCGAGATTCCGTACTTCATAAGCCGGATTTCGCGAGTCCACCCTGTCCCGAGAATCTCTTTTTCTGCTTCGCTGTGCTTAGTGACCGCTAGACATGAAATTCGGCTTGTATGGGATCCCGCCGTGGGCCGTAGTTCTTATACCGTTCAACGTATACCCAACATAAGGTACGATCGTACGTATTTCAACTCGATGCAAACCCGCGGGAGAAGCAATCGGGCGGTCCACAAATCTTTTCCGATCACTTTCGTAGACTCATGGACCAGAATGAACGACGGGAAATGACGGGGAACGCTACCGACAGCTACCCCTCCCCTCTTGCCTTACTTCCGGCGCCTCCGTCATTCACCGACACTTACCGCCGCTCACCGTCATTCATTTTGGTCTATGATTCCACGTAACTGATTCTTCCGAAATGGAGAGGGAGCCGCCCGATGGCGCCTCAAGCTTCCAACAAAGATCATCGAAGTCATCCACTTCCCTCCAATCAATAGGTTCCGCTTCTGTTAGGCTTTACCCGCCGTACTTCTTGTCTGAAATCCGCAAAGATTCAACGAATGTTCACTTGGAGGGTATCTCGATCACACGTACAACCGTACAAACCAAATCCAAGGTCTCGAAGGAGTGATTGTTGTTAAGGAGTGATTGTCTCGGGCATCAAACCTCCGTTGGGGCGTCTGCTGCCAATCAAAGCGCAGCGTTGAGAGCTGACACACGCGCGCGAATCAAACCCAGAGTGCGCATCGGAATTCATGTGAGAGTGAGAATTCTTCGGATCCGGCGGTGGTTCCAGCTGTTGACTCGGTTTATTCGTCTGGGTTGTCGTTCTGCTGCGCATCCCTTCGCTCAGGACCAAGATGTCCTCCGGAGTCGAAGACAAGGTTCGCGTGAAAGGTATGCGTCCAGAAACGATTCACAAGGCAACGGCTTTTCGTGCGTTCCGCGAGTTCGGAGGTGCCTTTCCGGAGCGTCCAAGTCGTGGAGCTTTTGAACGATGGATGAAGTGTATCTCTACAGGGCTCAGCTTCGATGGAACGTGCAGGAGTCGTAAGGGTTGCGACAGGATGCTTCACTTAAGGAATGGAAGACTCAGCAGAATCAGTCTGGACGTCGAAATGATTTACTACCTTGCACGACCGGCTTTTCCTTAGCCGGGAATGACTTCATTGACGAGACCCTGATCTGAATAGCACCTTGCGGGGGCCTTTTGGGTGCCGAGAGGTTTGATGAGCTCCTCCAGGTGAAGCTCAGACGTGTCCGGACATGTTCCCCATGTGTTGAGCGCTGCTCACTTGACGAGCACCGACTACCGTCCCTCTTATGGACCTACTGTCTACTAATGGAGCGGAATAGCATGTAGCTCCTGCATATCAGTGGCTCTATGACAGAATAATGACTTGCAAACTACGAGAGAAGATTAGGGAGTTTTTCATAGTATCGAGTTTGAGAGCTTTGTCGGAAGAAAGTCAAGAATCATCAAGTCAAGAGTCACCCCGGGGGGCTGCGCCTCGAGCTCTCGTGTGGGATGCTCTCGTCTGCAACTCCCCGAGACTACTCCCTCTGGTACCTGAGCCGCGACTTTTTGACGTCCAACCGTTTCCGAGACCGATTCCAACTATTTCCCCGCCTTGGCACACATTAAGTGTGAGTCTTCTGGGGTGACCGGAGATCAATTCTCAATGATTCCTTGATTACCTTGCAGTTGATGAAGAGGTTGAGTTCCTGTTAACGCAGGAACAGCTCCGGATGATGGACATATCCTCGAAAGACGGAGATTCCTTCTATTCTTGTGTCACAAGCTGCAATGATGGCAGTTTCCAGGAATACGATTCAGCGTTGCTCCTGGCTTCAGATCAAGTGAGTCGTACCCGCTCTCTCATGTGCGAGACCGCCGCTCTTCCTCTGTCTGTATATCGCACTATAGCCGCAGCTCCCCTGATTGACTCCTCTGACTCTCAGGAGGAAAGTTCCTACGTGCCGGAATACGAGGACATCACTCCAGTGCCTTCAGAAAGCGAAACGACTCCGTCCACGAGTTTTGCGTCAGAAACTCCCGGAAAGTCGCGAGAAACATTGAAATTCGCCACGCCATCCCCTCGGAAGCTCGAGGCTATAGCTCTAGTTTCGGCGAGATTCAATCTAATCCATCCACCTGAAATAAAAATCACGCCTGCAACACCACAAGGGCTCACTGGGGAAGATCACGGTACTGATTCCTCGACTACCGCGCCGCTTCCCACGGATACCTCAAGCACAGTTCCTGTGGTCGAGAGGGTTCCGACGAAAGTCTCGAACTCGGCTACCATTCTCGAAATCGATGAGGGTGGAAACCGATGCGTTGACCGAGGAGGAGGATCGACTCCGACGACTAAGGTGGAGGAGAACTCCCTACCCGGAAGGTGAGCGTGCATATCAGCTGACATCTCCATCGTCGATGCTTTTCAATCTTGCCAATTCCACCAAGAGCTCTATTCTCTCCCTAGCGATAAGCGGCTACATCTCGATATCATTGCTGAGAAGCCACCATCCAGAGCGATCCGACCTCCAACAGAGAGCTACACAACCAAAGAAAATCGCGCGCCAGAACCGCTTCCCGAGAGGTATGGCTCGCAATCGTTCCTCAGTTTGGAACGATTCGTTTAACTCGGAGATGATCGGATGTACACGGGGCGACCGGACGGATGCCGATTATTATTATTCTTTATTTCTCTCAATGCGAGATTTTCACTTTCGAATCGATTCCAGGGATCAGCTCGATGCTTCGCTCGACATAAGTTTGATGTCGTCTCGGCTCATGAAAAATCCGAGACCAAAAAGACTCCAAGAGCAGAGCTTCAAGGGAAGTCCTGTTCAGCTATCGAAATTTGTTACCCCCAATAAATCCAAGGTCACATCGAAAGTTGCGGAATTCATCAGAACGGGTGCAATGAGCGCGGGAAAGAAAGCGAAACAAACGCCCACGGTGAGTCGAGCGGGAGTCAGCTCCCAGTCGGGCATTCCTCGAGCATTCTAGGGTGCGGTCACCTGAATCAATCGTTCTTCCTTCCAGCTGAAGACCGCGTCGGGAGCTTCGCGAATCCCGAAGAAGTGCTTCATACAGAGCGCTAGAGTGTTCGGGAAACAAATTGTGCCGGAGAATCTCATGAAATCGCCGAAACCCTTGATAACGATACATAAGCACACGGCAAGCGACAAAAACCGACGAATCCACATCAATGAGAGCGTGTACGAGACTTTCGAGGCGGAAACCGCGAAGAAATGACCAGACGAGCTTGACCATTACTCATTCACTCCCTCAGCCGGAGGGAGGAAACTGTTTCCTTCATGGCAGGGATCATCGGGGACGTGTCGATTGTGATTTGTTGAGGTCCCCGACAGAAGCATTATTCAGCCTTCGATGCTCTTGTGGATCAATGCTCGAGGCCGATGATGAGTGAGCGGCGTTTTTACCTCCGTCAGCCTCTGTGTGGAACTCTTGTCCATGATTCCCTCCGTAGAAATTCCGCATAGCTTGTCAACCTAAGGAATCGGAGCAGTTTTCCGAAACTTCGAGGAGGACTGAAATTTTGGAATTCGTTTGTCAGATATTCCGCGTTTACCTTAAAGATAGTCTCATAATCCCAGTTCAAGGTCAATAAACTTATCGTAAAGCCCCGAGGAGGACAGTCACAAGATTTTGATGTTATCGTTATTTCGTAAAGCTGTAGAATTTGAAGACTGCTTATTGATCCCGTGTCGAGGTACTTTATACCATGGGAGTATCCGCTCTCTCCGAAAGGTTGACGTTCATGTCTGGGCATCCTCGAAGGCTTCCGATGGAGCTCACTTCTCGATGCTGAGCCCTTATGCGCAAAAACTCCGGATATTTCAACCGATCGCCGATTCCGTGACGCTTGTTTCGAGATCCCATACGAGGAGGCTTTCGTGCACGCTTTGTTTCGTTTGATGTTCTTTTCTCCACTACCATTCGCCTTTTCTGGTTAGCGTAATTATCGATATTGCCTTGGTTCCTTCGGTCTGTGATCGCAACGGATTTCCATCTCCGACTGTGGTCAATCGTGCGATTTTCAGTATACGGTCCAGTTTTGCTTCCCCGTCTCATCCAGGAAGAGATTGAGCATTTGAACCCAGAATTGGGGTGCGCGTGGTGTTCAGTCATGAGGGATTAATCTGGCATCATCACCCCTGCTTGGCATGGAAACTCTCTCGATTGTGTGCACGGTGTCGAAGCGTAGGAAGAACTTCCCTGGTCCAGCGAGGAGTCCTCCCGATTAGGATCTTCGCTGGCGGGCGCCAATGACAGCCACACTCATCTCGAGGATACTCCATGTATACGCTCACATCAATTGCCTGAAATGCTCCTGGCAGATTGAAGTTATCCAGTATTCAGTTGGCCTGCGATGGAAACCACGGCACACGATTCTTGGAGCTACGCAGGCGCCATAGTAGAATCCCCATAGGAATACTCAAAGCGGAAAACGGGCTCCAAAATGACAATCGACTGATCTTTCGGAATATTCGATTTCTGCACGCAGAACGTCCTGCTGCTATGCGAGTCCGTGGAGGATGTCGATAGGGGCTTTTGTTTGGAAGTTTGTGGATGCGTTCGGTAAACAACGAAAACGAGACGACCGCTCTCTCAGTCTATTGACTCGATGGCTAATTGGTTGCGAGATCGGTTGGAAGCGGGGGCTGCGGCCCCACCGATCGACATAGATAAGTTGCTGTCGAGACTACTCGAAGTTCGGAAGACCCGGGCACCAATGGTCGAAATCAATCCGAACGAGATTCTCTTCTTGATAGACGAAGCCACGCAGATATTCGAGCAGCAGCCCATTCTTCTGGAACTCAACCCACCGCTGAACATCTGCGGAGACGTCCACGGTCAATTCCACGACCTTCTCCGAATCCTGCATCAAGGCCAACATCCTCCAGCCTCGAACTACCTCTTCCTCGGGGATTACGTCGACCGCGGTCGAAACTCCATAGAAGTTCTCTGTCTCCTACTCATATACAAAATTCGGTTCCCAGGCAACGTGTTCTTGCTGCGAGGCAATCACGAAACGTTGCGCATAAATGCCATATACGGATTCTTATCGGAATGTCGAGTGAGGTGAGAGCTCGTATCGACGGATCGATGAAAATATTTGAGTACCACCCGATATTCTATGATGATGCCTGACGGAGAATTCTTTCCATCATCATTGGTTTCCAAATAATTGAAATTCGTTCCCTTTCTCGCAGATATTCGCTCGAAGTTTACCACAAATTCAATGAATTATTCGCTTGGTTACCGTTGGCGGCGATCGTGGGCGATAAGATATTCTGCTGTCACGGGGGGATTTCTCCGAAAATGTCCCTCATCGATGATATCCGTGATATTCGACGACCTTTGAGGGACGTCCCAGAAGACACGATCGCCTGCGACCTGTTGTGGGCGGATCCGTTCGAAGGCAGAGGTTTCGCACCCAACGATCGCGGCGTTTCCCATGTTTTCGGAGCTGACGCGGTTTGTAACATTCGACTGTGTCACGAATCATTGCGATCGAATTCCCACCCCCGACCCGCGCGGTTCTAAATCGTTTCGTATCCTCCATAGCTTCAACGGTTTCTGGATGACAATGGTCTTGATCTCGTTTGTCGAGCGCATCAGGTCGTCGCTGACGGTTACGAGTTCTTCGCCAATCGATCGCTCGTTACCCTCTTCTCCGCCCCGAATTACTGCAACGAGTTCGACAACGCCGCAGCGATGATGATCGTGTCCCCAGATTTGACTTGTACTTTCCGGGTCCTCCGGCCTACAACAAAGGCGCTCAAGCCTGCGAAGAACAATGTTCCTCGTAAGAAGACCGGATGAGCGAGTCTCAAATCGCTGATATAGATCATTAATCAAATTATACTCTTGATCCAGTCTAGTGATGGTAGATATGAATCAATAGAGGCGCTTAGTTTTTCCGAACTGAGCTGCATTAATTCAACTCGGTGTAGGACTCGGTGAAAGGCATCTCCGGACGCGAAATCGGACCTAGGTCCGGAAGAGCGCTTCTGTGTCGCGTTCGATTCGCATTCATACACCCAGAATCCTCGTCGTAACAATAGCGGCTCGCAATATCGTGAAATGTTAATAGATTTCCTCCTTCCCTGGGCGCTGTCGCGATATTCCCCGTTCCTGGTGTACGACCAGCCGTAATTCAGCTACCATTCATTCGGGGCAAGATTTCAACACCATATCCAAGTCGCCCGCGAGCGACGAGATCGAACGCCGTATTTCAATTGAAATCCTTTGACTGCCCTCTGCGAACGACGTCGGAACTTCCGGAGTTCCTCGAGGCTCTATCGATGAGAGCACTGTCTGTAGAGATGGAAGCGGGAAGATATCGCGTGTTCCATCGACAAGACAATGAGGGTTCCTCGAGATCAGGCGAATCTTGCGGAGCTCGATCTCCCCTCGGAAATCTGCTGCGATATCCATGAGGAGTTCCGCGAGCGACTCCGCATCTCCCACCAATGGGAGCGCCCCGTGGGTTACGAACGCGTTTTCTTGTGAGACTACGTCGACCGAGGTCCAAGCTCAGTCGGAGTTCTGATCTAGCTCTTAATAGACGGGAAAATATCCCTCAGCAATGTATTCTCGCTCGGAGGAAATCCCGGAGCTCATCAAGTCGACACTCTCCGCGGATTCCTGACGGAACGCCGGCTCAGGTGGTGGTCTCGTCTCAGGAAATATCGGGACAAATATAATACAAAAGGAACGAACGCCATCGAAGAGCAAACTCAGCATCCGTAAATCGATTGAACCGAGGATACTCACACTTCATAGCAGTGGAAACTCCTCACGGATTCAGCGCTAGGCTTCGCTTCCACTATCCACCCATTTTGCATCGTTTCTTAGCCTCACATATTCCTTCTAGTCTCCATCTTCCTTAGACCGCATTGATCTCTAACGAATCTGTCGGTCATCTGTCACATGAAATCGAAGCACACTGATTCGAATTTTCCGCGGATACGATGATTGTGTCCCTGCTCTCGGCTCCGACTTATGGAAAGGGATTCCATAGTGCGGCTGCGGTTATGATAGGTGCCGAAGATAATTATGGTTACGCTTCCGGCTCAATCTTGGCAGACAAGCATGGCGGGAGCGCCAGATCGAGAGGATTCGAATCTTTCCTGAGAGAGTTGGGGATATATTCGTTGGCTCCGAAATTTCGTCCTCCCCATTCTCATTGCGGGAGCTCCATCGGAGCAATATCTCATCGAGTTCTCTGAATGCTCAGCATTATTCTCTCGCGGTCGCTCGCGGGGATGCCCTCCGAACCGATTGGATACACCGATCTTTCTCTCCATGAGAGTGATAACATGGGAAATCGCTTTCTTCGACCGCCCTCCTTCAGTTTTCCTCCGTCTGCTTTCGGCTCGCATCGCGACCGCTCCGGATCGGCGAAATCACTGCGATAAACGCGTCTGATTCTTTCTGGAAGCCCTGACGCGAACCCCTCGGGAACCTCGAAACAACTCTCCAGATACGCTGATCTGGGGTGCTCAATTTCTCAGAGTCTGTCAACTCTCTGCCACATCGAGCTCTCCGCGTCACCATAAAGCATCCACCGTTCTACCCGCGGCGATCACTGCTCTATTTCTCGGGTACGAGACTCGCAAGAAAACATCGGCACGCGTATGAATCATCGTCGAGATACGCGTCGTACCGACCACCTTACATCCACGCGGACAGAAACCACAACAAATACCCGGAGCGAGAAATTCGAAGTGCTCAGGATCCAGCTCGAGAGGTCAATATGCCGAGTTCGGAAAGCCGCCAGCTACTGCGTAAAAACTCCTATACCCGAACGCGGTATCAAAGTCTCGACCTGGATTTCGAAGACAGACTTCCGTTCCGAGGGATCCCGTTGTACGTGGGATATTTCATCACGTGCGTCTGTGCATCCGTGGGATTCGTCTTATTGATAACGAATTATTTGTTCGAAGAAAGGTTTGTTCACCTCAGTAGGGAGACTCCTTTTTGATTATCCTTGGTCGATTCAGCTCCCGAAAGCTTGTCTGTGCCGTCACACTCGCCGACTAGGGGCCTGATTCCGCTGGCTCCACCGAGACGTTGACGCGAAGAGAGATCAGGAAGATGAACGATTGCGAAGTTTGCGCTCAACGAGTTCCAGATAGGTAACTGGAGCAGAAGAGTGCACAAAAGATACGGAGCTTCTTTATTATCGCTTGAGGTCATCTTCGTGTAAACAGCCGCTTCCTCGACCTTTGGGACTGCCACCCTTGGTCCGTCTACAACTTCGAAGCGTGAGTGCTACAAATCGTTCATCTCTCCAATTACAGAGATGACTTTCGCTTGGTGATGGAGTCTTGGGGGATCAATCCGGAGCCGTTTTCTCTACTTCTTCTGTGTATTTCGGCGGTGACTCCGATGATCGACGTGACCCAACAACTTTGGCTCGAAACGACAGACCGGTCGAAGGTCTACCGCCGCGAAACGTCCTCGGTATATACCTTGGTGGTTTAACTCCCGCTCCCAAGAGTGTCGTCTTCTCTAATAGCGAGCGGGTGCAATCCACAAACTATTCAGAGAGCATTCTGTGAGCTCCTTTGTTCGGAGAGCTCAGAGGGGACCGCTCGAAAACCGCTCGGGGTGGGCTCAACCCTCACTACTCGGCGCACGAGACGAGTAGATTGTGGATTTTACGGCAGATCTTGCGAGTTCGAGATGTTCATAAAGCTTCTAGGGACCGTGAGAATTCACTGAGAGCGGATCTTAACGAGAAAACCATCGCGAGCTGTCGAAGTGACTGAGATGAGCTCCCGATCTTCTTGAATAAAACCAGAACTATTGAATCTTCATCACATGGATGTATCATCTTCTTATATCATCTGCGATCGATGGTGCCGAGACAAGGAGAACCCGCCGCTCGGTTCATTCATGTCCAGTATCTCGGGCGGGCAGCTACAATTGGAAAAGCTCCTCGACGGCGGAATCCAGAAGATGTTTGGAAACCCTCGAGCGTCTCGTTTTGCCTCGGAAACTGCGAATGTCTTGCCCGGATGCCGATTGATCACCTCATGAAACTGCTCTTCGATAGTCGCTTCCTTGAGATTTCAGGATGTCTTTCAGAAATTCCCGAGCGGCCATGCTAACGAGCTCGAATCGTTCCGAACTCTCACTGTCGGTGGGACGTAAGCATAAATTTCATCTGAGGAAAGTTGTGAATCTTCCCCATCCTATAATTAGCTCATCCGAGCCGAATGATACGAGTCGGCGGAGGCCAGAAGCCAGAGCCCTTAGCCCCTGGCGTTTTCAGGAGTCATACGTCCGTCACCAGCGGGTTTCTTGGGGAAATTGATTCCGAGCCATCTCATGAGGAGCCTTCAGGGAGAACAGATTCAGCCTCGGGGTCCATGAGTCTCCTTAGCATCGATCATCAATGTCGGAGGGGAGCGTCCCGAAAAACCGTTTGACGTCCCTTCGGAAGTCAGGAGTGATCACCGCTTGGGTCGTTCAAAAATGGCGCCGTTTACTTGCACCCTCCCCACAAGCATGGCGGCGCCCTTCTCCACGCAAGAGGCACATTAATGTGATCCACGAATGCCGAGGGATCGGGGACCTTATTTGTGCGGTAAGACAGCTATCTTTTGCCAAACAGCGATCTTGGCCGGCTCATGGTCTGATGTCGTAGCGGCGCATTACGGGGACATTCTTGGAATTGCATCCTGCGCAATCCGCTCAGGAGGATCACATGTGCAGACTCCTCTCAGAGCTGTTATGATGGCATTGGAATAATTATTCACTCTCTTTTCTATGCAGAGATATTGACAGACTCTGCCGAGTTAGGGAACCCCTTCCGCGCTGATAGGACGAAAACAGAACTCTGGAAGGAGAACCCAATGAACAGCCTCGATCAAAATTGTAACGACCTAAAGAAACGCTACGAGGAGTGTTTCAACGCATGGTTTTCTGACGGTTTCCTCAAGGGAGACTTGCGAGATCCGTGTAAGGAGATATTCCAGAATTATACAGGCTGTGTGAAGAAAGCAGTTGAAGAGCACAAGATCAATTTGTGGGAAATCGAGGCGGACATACTAGGTGAGGTTCGCTTATTGATTCGGCGAGATCTATCATGCTCGCGACGTACAACAGTAACGAAACTCACTACATAGTCGAAAAACAGTCTGAGAAGAACGAACACGCGAGTCACTAGATCCGCAGAAACTCATTGAGGACCTTTCCAGGAACAGAGAAGGAAAGGCAGCCACCTTCATCAGAGAAGAAATAGTCCGTTCGTCAGTTCGTAGATTTACCTCCCACCGATCGGATCTTTAAACTAATCGGCAGTTACCTTCGAAGCAATCGGTGATGGCTGCAGGATATGATGAAGATTCTTCGAATCAATCGCAAAGTGACTTCACTGAGGACGAAGACGATCAAGGGTATCAACAAGGAGAATTACCCGAGGAGGGACTAGACGCCGATCTCAAGGGACAGAGTCTAGAGCAAATTCTCTCGCTCAAAGACTCTGTGGGTCTCCGGACGTATAAGACCGCGATAGGTCTGGAAGACGTCGGAAAAAGCAAAACGCGGAGAAAGGTTAGTTTTCTCTATCGTCTACTAGATGACGCATTTTATGTCACGGAACTCCTCGAGTTTTCTTTTGTCAACATGATTCCGGTGCGCCATGGTCCGGATATGCGGTTCCTTGACGCACTCTTGAGGTCTGCCTCTGTCCTATGCGATCACTTCACGGATCCTCTCCTTCGGATTCCAGAAATTTAGACGGGAGAACAAGAACCGTCCAAGGGAGATCAGCTCGAAAATTCCAGTCTCGGGAGCGAGAAATATATTTGCCGTGAAGAAAAAAGTTCGTGCTGATCCCCGCTTCGAAGAAGGCTTTGACGAGGTTCAATCGAGAAACAAGATCAAGGCTGAGCACCGGATGAGACAACGTCATCGCGAATACTCCTTCCTGGATGATATTAGGTGAGCTTCTTCAAGCATAAGTATACTGGAAAATTCGAGAGTCGAACTGCAAGGCTTAGGTGGCGCCTCACTTGACGCATGTTCGAATCGCGATCGATCGAATCCTACGATACGTGATGCCTCTTTCTGCAGGCGTAAGGAGAAACAGGAGCTGGAAGAGAAGCTTGCTGAGGGCACGTACGATCTCGATGAGCACCGCAAAGCGCAGAAGCTGCTTCAGAAGATTCGGTCTCGTGAAGTCACGCAAACACAACGGAGACTGCGAACTGATATCGACCAGAAGTATTCGAGTTTCTTGAAGGAAGCTAGAGAGTCTGGGCAAGAGGTGAAATACATGAACAAAAAAGATCGCAAGAAAGCCGAGCTCATCAGCAAGTACAAGGAGCTGAAGAAGACCGGCAAGCTAGACAAGTATCTCGAAAAGAAGCGTAAGAAGAACGCCTCGCGGGATAGGAAGAAAATGTTGCAGGTCTGATGTGTTATTATTACTATGCATCCCTCTCTGGGGATCAGACTGAGTCGATCGCAATAAAAACATCGGTCCCCCGAAATTTTGCCCTTCAATCGATAACCCCCAAACAATAAACGAGTTATCAGATTCAGCATAGAATAGAAGCCTTGGGGGTCATATCAGCACTCTCCAGTCAAGATCATCCTCAGAAATGACTCTTATTCTTTATTGGATTGAGGATTTCCTTCGTGTGACGGAGTTTTCGAAACTTCTTGTCCAAAAACTAATCACAGTCCCATCATACCGCCGTCCAACTCGAATTCGATCGGTCGTTAGTGAGTGAGAATTCTTATCCATCCGAGGTGAGCTCCGCTCGATACCTCCCAACACTCGCCGGTGACTAGCTGCATTCTCAAAACATGAGTGCGCCTTGCGAGGCACTTGCAGAAAATACAGAGAATCCGGGATTTTGAGCAATTCGTGCCGAGAGATTAGCTTTTTGAATATATCGATTTCCGTCGAAGTGATAGTCCTGCCGCCTCCAGATCGGGTCCGATGCGGTCAAGCTCTCGCCAAAAACCTCCTGATCGAACACACCGGTCAGCGTGATAGGATCATCTTGAGAGCTAACTCTGGACGTCTTTGTTATTCACGCCATAACCGTAATACGAGTTCTTCACGAAGTCGTCATGCTGTTCATACAGCTCTTTCGTGAACCAATCTGAGCTCATTGGTGGCTGATCGCCATCGAAGTCAGACGGCAAGATGGATTTATCGATGTGTCTGTGCAGGGAGGACATATCCGATCCGTGTAGATGAACCCTGAACGAGCAGAGAAAACGCTCATTAGAATACATATACCTGTACGCTCACGTGCTGAATGTCGGTCGCACGGAGACTAATTGGAGTTCTCATTTAATGATGGAATTTCGTGCGATTACCTGTCGCGCAGCTTGTACGACAGGAATGGTCGTCCCATTCCCCAGACTATGTTCCACAATGGGCTGTGGTTCACAATATGAGCACCTTTGAAACGAGCGGGGTATCCGTCCTGAGCCGTGTTGATCAAGGCCTGCGGAGAAAAATGATTTTCATCCCGTTTCCGGCGACCTATCGAATTCTCCTGATGGGCACGATTGTTTATCCTGCGTATCATCGGTTTGGAGGAATCCGAATCCTCGCCCCCGGTACGAGCAGATCGAAGGACGTCGCTCTAAGCTTAGCTGAGTCCCAGAATAATCCCCTTCGTGCGAAAGATATGGAACTCATCATCGGAAAGCAGGGAGGAGCGACGTCCAAGTTTCCACGCGGCATGCGTGACGCCGTCGGAGATCAGGGAACTGGTGAGCGGCGGCATAAGGATGAATTCATGAGTGGAGAATGCGCTCCGATACTCAGACGCTTTCCGAGAGCCGGGGCATGTAGATGGATTCAGAAGAAGACGCCGAGCGGCGACTGAATGACGATTAGCGTGGAAAGAGTTCGGGAAGCTTCATATCGTGATCGTTCGGAACGGAGTCGGGACCGATCTTCGTCGAGAGATCTACCAAGAGGAATGAATGGACGCAGAAAAAGTTGAATTGATCTAATTCTCCGTGAACAAGTCGCGATTCCGAACGAATAATCGAGGGATTTCCGCACGGAATGGATGGCTATGTTGATTCTCTGTTGATTTTAGGTGGCGGATCGTCGAGGACTCCGCTCAGGGTGACTCGTGGTGGAGGGTTAAAATCGGAAATAATCGAAAATGATTCGGAGGGTCGATAGGATGTCGCACATACCCTGTGCGGCAGCGGAAACGACAATCAAAAGCAAGAAAGGATTCTCTGCAGAACAGGTGACCTTGAAAGCGGCGACCAACCGAGAATTTACGCAGTACCCACCAACGAGAGATCGTCGGATGATAGCGAATTATCGACGTATGATTTCAGAGTTCCAAAGATGGAACGGCGCGGCGGGTCACGCGGGGTCGTGTTCGAGAAGCCGAAGCTCAACTCAAGATCATCCCGAGACTTCGGAGATGAGAGCAATAAGAAGGTCTCTTCGAGTCTTTTTTGAGAGCGCTCACGATCTTGATACGACTGTATCGCCTGTCAGGTTCTGGAGCTTCTCAAATCGAGAGCATAGCTCGAAATCGCGAGTGAACGAGATTTCGAGATCCAGAACACAGAGTCCATCCTTGACGGAGACAGTCGACAGCGAGGAGCAACTCGGTGTTTTCCAGACTTTCCGAAGAGATCGACGGAAGACTCGGGGCGCGTCGCCAGGGAACGCTGGCATACCTCCATGGTAGGTTGCCCTAGAGGGTTTTGCGAAATACTGTACGCTCTGACAACGACTCGCCGGGGTATGATATTTTTGTTTCGTTCATCGCCCGAGCGTAAGCGAGCTCGGCTCCCATCCAAAGCTCGATAACTCGAGTCTCGGGCAGACCGTACAAGAACACAGAAAATCTTCGTTGGCACAGGATCGCATCAGATCAAAGACGACTGTGAGCGCGAATCGATGGCAACGCGCGAGTCGCACAGAAAATGCTCGGAGAAGGTGGTCGACCATCAGTAATTACGACATCGACTCGAAAGCGTAGGATATTGACTCGAGATAGACTCTACCGCTCTCGAGGAGGGGGCTCTTGAGCCAGGTCCTTGGCGAACAAAGCCTTGAACTTGTAATCGAGGGAGCCGAGATGGTCGAAATGAAATTTGGTCAACCTAGAGCGAGCGAAAACGTCCTTAAACTCGAGACTCGAACGAGACGACCTTGTTGCAGAGCAGATATGAATCTCGAGAGTTTTAGATGCGGCATCTCGATTATCTCATGGACTCGCAGTCGGAAAACGCTGCCCTCACCGATATCGCGAGGCCGGGTGGGCTCTAAATCTTCCGTTTTCCACCCACTGGGTGTCTGGTTCAAGTCTTGCGGATGCTGATCAGATGGAAAAGTTGCATTTCGAGCCCACGAGGCCTGGGTGCTCACATGGACCGGTGAAGACTCTCCCGGATCAAAACACAGAACGCGCGCCTCACGCGACAATCCTGAGGTCGTGCTCGATCCCTGCCTCAACGCGCCGAATTAGCGTAAAGCATGAATTTGACTCCCGTAAAGAAGGCGAAGGTCGGGAAAACTTAATGACGATTCCATTGAGCCCGGAATTTCACGAGGCTCCTTGGTGAAACTCTCTTCGATTGCCAGACTTGCCGGTCGGAGCAAGTTTACTTGTTGTACACGCATGAGTGGCGTAGCATGTACATGGTGTGTCACCGATCTCGATCCACTCGTGCTGTAAAGATGGGCCCCGATACTGCGCCATTCAGGATGTACTCCACCCCTCAGTTCCTTAATGGGAGCTGCTCCATCATTCTCCAGTCAGCGCCACAAGTGCAGGTCGTAGCGACAGGCGAGGGGACGTCAGTCCTACCCGCCGTCCGCGCAGAGAAGTGCGGGAAGCCCGAGAGCTACAATGTACAGGTTTGAGAAATCAGTTGAACTTGGGAAATACGGGAACACCGACCCATCGGAGGTCGTGATCAAGGCCGGAAGATCGGAGAAATGGCCGCGAAGGCCCAAGGCGGTATCGCAATACAACATGTCACCGCTTCCTTGTCACAGCGCTTTTGATCCTCGGTGTCACGTTTTCAAGATGGACCATGTGCTCCAAGGGAAAGCATCGACCTTCAGTTTTTGTTGTCCCCGATGCATTCGTCGATGTCGGGTTCATCGCGAGATTACGCGGCTATAGTCACACAGAAAACTCACCCGCACGGCGTTGAGCCCGAAAACTTTCAGAAACCGCCACTCCATGTTTATGAAGTTGATCAAGAACATGAATCCATTGAGCTGAACCTCGGGATCCCGCAGAGCCAATTCGACCGCGTAAATCGTAGGGGTGTAGATGTGACTCAAGTCATATCCTGTCTCGGGGGTCCACTGTCCGAACTGCCAAACGATGACACAAGCTCCATTGATCGGATTCCGATGTTTCAGCAGAAAACCCACATTGAGTTTGTACAGTTCCACGACGTCCTTCGGGCCTTTGCCCACTGGAGAGTAGATTTTCGGGTCGAGTAAGCGAACCTTGAAGAAATTCTTGTACATCTTCAGGGCCTTCTCTTGGTCGTATTTCTTCGCGCGGAGGAAACGCACGAGAAAGTCCTCCTCTAGTCGTGGAACACAATCTGGCAGCTCCTGCACGAGCTGTTTGAACTCCGAAAGCGACGCTTTCCGCACTTCATCGCTCTCCCCGAGCTCACAGTAAGCCTTCTTACGCCATTCTGGCGTGATGGCCCGGTTCGGCGTGATCTCCAACTCTTTCAGGACCAGAGTATCCTTGGTCATGTTGCCAGCGGCTGTCGACCCGTCGACTCCGAGAAGAAGCGTGAGCACTCGAATTATTTCAGCCGGAGCGTCGCCTGGACACTCGAGAAAGCAAGGTCTCCGCAGTACCCCTTTCCAAAAACCGCTTCTCCCCTCTACTATAGTATGTGACGAAGTGAAATGAGTGCGAGTGGCGCAACTCGTGGCAAGGCAAGTTCGCTTACGTCCATGGATCGACGGATAACAACGAGCTAAGACCAATAGAGGCGATAAGAAACTCAATGTTTCATTCGTGATGGGACGACACTGAAATAGATAGGAGTGTAATTCGCGAAGCCAGTACAGAAACCCTTCTCGTTCCTCGTCTAAAGGAGCGTTTCCGAGACCATCAATCAGCATTTGATGATCTCTTCAATCGGAAACGTCGATTCAAGTCGGAAGCAAGCTTAAATAAACGCAAAACGGGCAAACTCTGTTGTTTCCGTCACGGCACTGATTCGATAAGGTCCCCTCGAGAAAATGGTCGTAGTCGGCAATGAGAGCTCGCGGAAGGGAATAAATTCGCATGTGGAGACAATCAAAGCTGTCTGTGTCTAGAAGCCAGAGCAGCGAGACCCTTCGCTCGATATTCGACAAAATCTCGTTGACGGTTGGTATGACAGGCCATTGAATGGATTCACGACAAAGAGCGGTAGACAAGAACAATTACATTCCCCATAGCTGAGATTCTCGATCGCTGATCTTAATTGACAAAGTTTCGAGTGTCGCTTTGATAATTTATGTTTCGCCAACAAGAAGAACGGGTATACTAAAAAAAACGAAAAACATTGATATTATGGAGCTTCGAGCGAACCTACCAGGCAATCGTACAGCTTGGAACCCTTCTGTATTTCGGGCGTTGGATGATTTCGCAGAATATGATACGATTGGGACTTCTGGATTTTGCGGATATGGGAGTACTGGATCTAGCATCGGATCGATGGGGCGTATCGGATCGATGGGGCGCGACTAGCCCTCGAGTCGGAGCAGATTCATTTAGTGGTGTGAGAGAGGGGCGCCGGTAATTATTATGAGTCGAATAGTGATTCCATACGCGGACTTTGTACGATGTGTCTCCATTAGATATGTGATCTACTCCATTGCGACACTGATTGCGAGTAGATTGATCTCTCAAAACAACCGCCTTGTTTTGAAATCACTGTCCCGTATCAGAGCACGTGCCTGCTTTGCTCGCACCTCCGTGTCATGGTCTCGCAGTACGCCGCTGAAAGCTAGAGCGGAAAGATGCGGCGATTATACCAGGAATGCCTTGGAGCACTCTGGAGGAAGTCCTACAGCAAGCTTCCCCCACTGCGGAGACCTCGTGCCTTGACTGAGCTGCTAGCGGCAGGACCCTGAGCTTCGAAAAAACACCCGATTCCGAATCTCCAAATCGTAGCCGGAGCATCTGCGCACTGAATTTCCGTCGGGTGGTGGTTTCCAAAGATTCACGCGATCGGGATCGAAGCCCTTCCGTTTTCACTTTTGCAACCCTGCGAAGATCAGCGAAGCTAGAAAAACAATCCTGCAGCTCTCTCTTCCTTGAAGCCCATTCCATGATCGAGCTCGAAGAGCATAGATCTTCTTGCGATCAGCTGATTGAAAACACGTCGCGGTTTTCTGTATCATCATTCATTGTCAAATAACAAGCATCCAAGAACATTTGAATAAAATTCAAGATCGAAATCACTGCCGTTCGGATATAGCGGAAGGGAGAGGCGGAATCATTCCTAAGGACGCAGCCCGGGGCGTCGGTGCAGGTTCATTCTTCTCACCACTGTACTTCGTTGCAGAAATCACTGAGTTTGTACGAGTTGACTAGAACGAACAGCACGAAGCTGAGCAAGCCTCCTTTCTTCCCGACCAGTTTGCTCACGTAGTGAAGAAACCTCAAGAACTTCATGGGACTCAGCAGGAGCTCGACGAGGACCGTCATTGCGACCGTAACTCTTCAGGGGGTTTTCAGTGAAAACCCGTGAGGTTCATGTGTTGGGAGACGGCAGGGCCCTCTGCTCGATGTGTTCCCTCGGAGAGAAGCGGATCTGTTGAGTCCTCTGTTCTCACAGCCAGTAATTTCAGATCTTCTCGAGATGAATCCCATCCAGCATGAGCCGCGCCGAACGACTGACTGAGCAAAGTGCGTTCAGAGACCTTGGTGCTTCCCTCTCTCAAACCGGCGTCGGTCGGTTTTACCACTTGACTACACCTGAAGTAATCATTCAACAGAAGTCAGAAAATTGCAGCTTCCCCTCAATCGGAAGTTCTCGTCAACGTCGGAATGAGCCGATCACAATATTCAAGATCCGTCGGCGGACTCCGATTAATGTGAAGACGGCCTCCGCCAGGGAAAGTGATTCGGAATATGAGCTGAGAGTATGAGCTGATCTCTCAGCACATCGAGACGTGCGCCCTACAGCGAGAAGCTGTCAAGATTGATCCGTGCTCTTCGATTTTTTATCTCTCTATCGACCTCTGAAGCGAGCTCTGCCGGGGAGTTTCGAACGGGAGAGAGCGTTCCCTTGCCGTCTTTCGATGCGACAAGATTTTTCGTTCGGATGCCGCTTGATCTAGCTCGGACAGAATTTTGGAACACGTCCGGTGAGAGATGGCTCTCAGCCATCGAAAACATCTCGCGTTGTTTTTCGTAGCCCGGTGCGCCAGCGTGGCGAGAGGTCATCGGAAGTGCGTAATTGTCGAAGAACATTTGCATTTCCAGTGTATCCGGATTCGCCGGTTGGTTTGCTCTCTCCGCGGGAGGAGGGACCCGACGCCAATGAGAAAAGTACGCTTAATCGGTTCGCTCTCCGGCTTGAGTTCCATTCGAACTATCTTCTTCCCTCCGCGGGAAAACGCGCCCTATCATGCGGCGCACAGTGGGGCAGAATGCGAAAATAGGAGGAAAAAATTCAAGTCAGCGATTCCGCTTTTTGAGCGACGAACATCCTCATCGACTCCTTGAAACTCGGGAGGCACATCAATCTTGTCAATATTTTGATCCACGAGTGCGTAACGAACAGCTGAAGTGACCCTGAGAACACCTCCCGATCCAGACGTTGAAGTGGTCGTTGGAGTGCTCCGCGGAAAAAACGAGATCAGCTGTCGATTTGGAGAAAGAACTTGCCAGTGAGCTTGATTGAGTCGAGATGAATGTTCAATGCAACATCCGGGGACAATATGAGATCTTTAAGATACCTAGTGAATTTCATGAAGACTTGTCATTTCTTCGGGATATGTGTCAACTTTCACATAGGTAGAAGTACACGCTCTTCCTGAGTCTTCCTCCAGGGAGAAGCTGAAAAATGCTCTCCGATCTCTCCTCTTCCCGATTCAGTTCTCAAACCCTGCTTTTTCGATGCAGAAGTTGAGTCCTGGAATCTCTCGCAGGTGTACAAATCAAAGTGTCTCGCTTCGAATTTTTCGATGATTGGCAGGCTTGCGAGAATGGGAGGAACTTAGATCTCCTCGAGAAGGTTTTGTTAGCCCGAGTGGAACTCGAGATTGAGGACTCCCCATCATTAAGACGATCTTTGAGTAAACACGCATCCATCTTACGCCGGAGATACAACGGAAGTTGTCGTAGTCGTACAATTTTTTTGGAGAAGAACGCCAAGTGGCTCGGTCAAAACCCCATCATTACCCTGAGATTACATCATTACGGCCCGCCTCGAATCCATCCCGCCGACTCCGAGGGTTGGTCGCCCTCATCATCACCCCCTTATCGGTGAGCTTGGACGATTTGAAAAAAACAGCAAAATAATTTTTTCAACCTATTTTCGCATTCTGCCCCACTGTGCGGCGTTCAAGATGCGGGGATGATGGCCCCGGCCGGCGCGGAGTTTCTGACGCGACGCTCGACGATTGCGGCTTACCAATGACTACGACAATCGGTTCGGATTCGATCAGAGCCTGCTGTTCTTGATCGTTCCGTCGGAGGAATCGAAAGAAAAATCAACCCACCTCCCCCAGAGGGAGAGGCGTGCTTATAGAATCACAGAATTATTTGATTTCCATAACCGAGGGTTTTTCCCCCCGATTACCGGACTCCATTGACTACAAATATTCTGCTTGATCCGACCGCAAGCTCCGAGCACGCCAATCGATAGAAGAGTTTCTAATGCCAGATTCACTATCAGGTCTCTATCCTAGCTCGATTCTGCGAATTCACGCTCGACTCTACCACGATCCGGCGACTCGCCACAAGCCGATGTCTTCGCGAAGCCCTACAGCAGTCTTGACAAACGAATCTGTAGAACTATTTGACGCCGCCCGAAGCCCCGTTCCTTGAGCGAACGGAGGTTGCGACGAACAGGTGTGGGCAGACCAAGATCGTGGAAGGAAGCCTCTCCGACTGCAATTATCAGGCGAGCGCAGCCGAGTGCTACAGCTGCTTAGATTCCGTACGCAGCATCCTCCTTGAGAAGCGTCCCGGCATCCGAGCCGGGCGCGAGAGTCCAATCTGTCCCGCGGCCCCACCTGCTGCATGGGCACTACCTATGCTTCGGATTTTTCCATAGTCGGGCACAGCTAGTACGAATAATGACCCGACTCGTCACTATGTTTATTCGGAATTCGAGCAGAAATCACATTATTGCAGTTGGAGGGCCAGCTCGATTCCTTCGTTTCATACGTGAGCGTCTTCGACGTAGGTTGCCGGGAAATGGCCTCGACGGAGGATTCCTGCTTTCAGAGTCTCTCCGAACCACCAACCATCTTCGCTCTTTCGGATGACCGTGACTATGTCGCCCTGTTTGAGTGAGAGCTCCCCGGATTCTGTGGCATCGAAATCATATAAAACTTTACATTGAGAGAACGATTCTGAGTTCTGGGGCGGTCGCCCCTTGGACGACTGTGACTTCAGCGAGCTAATGCTGCTGGGACGCGGGAAATTGCTCTCGTAGATGGGGTTGTCGGACATTCGGTTCGGAACTTCGGTCAGCTCGTCCTCGGAGAATTCCCCTTCTGCGGAAAAGGATAGGTTAGAAGAATCACACCTCTCCACCCTGCGCTGCCCGCATTTCTATTGCAGTAAAAGCTCGTTACTACGAACAAGAAGGGACCGACGAAACTAGTTCGTTGTACCGAGTTTTCGCTGTAACGAATGCCGCTGAACACCATCTCTATGGCGAGCTGGCCAAAGGAGGAGAAATTCCTTGTTCGTTGTACCGAGAAATTCGTTGTAATGGGGGTCGTTATAACGAGCTTTCACTGTATTCGAGATTCATGCAAAATCGAATCACGTCTCTCCACTGACCATCTTCAAAATCCGATCCGTACGCGCTGTTCACAACGACGTCTGATTCCCCTGAATGGATGCCTAGAAATATTAGAAAACGTCACGGGGTGAATATTCCGATCGGAGAGGATCCTCTCGGTAGGATTCGAGGAGGATCACCGTGAATATTATCGGACGGAGCTTCCCCACCTTCTGAATTATCGGAGTTCTGTGAGTCCGTTCGTTCGGCGTCGAGTCCACCTCTGGCGATCCACGTCGGTATCTTCAAAATACTCTGCGGATGACCCTGCTTGTCCCTGTGCTGTTCGATGTGGGCGCTCAGCGGATGGGAGGGACGTAGTTGACCGTCTAGACTCAGAAGCACGCATTGGATTTTATACCGTGTCGCTTCGAGGAAGGCCAACGTCTGCTTGAGCTGCCGTAACTTCTCTCGCACATCGGCCTGAGCTCCTTCATCACCGAAGCGCGGTGTTTCCTGGAACACCCTGGCCAGGCTCTCCACGCCCTCTCGGCCCTTCCGTTCCATTTCGAGATCCCTCATGATCATCATGAGAAATTTCTCGAGGGACTCCTTCCGCCTATCCAATTGCATCTGATTTGAGAGATCCTCAGCCTGTGGGAGATAAGATTCGATGTTAAGCTCGGGGGACGCATGACCATGGACCGAGAGCATCAAGTGAAACCCGGCTCGATGATGAAATTACGGAACTCACGAAGAAATCCGGAAGGTGCTGCTCTGGGACGTTCGGTGCTGTGCCTTTGCGTCGAACGATTTCCAGGATGTCGTTCGCGGGGCTGACGTTCCCTGTACTCCGCTCCAGCCTCTCCACGCAACTGGATGTTGCAGGACCGACTAGAGATAGGCTGAACGTATACCTCTGTACGGCTTCAACGAGACCAGTCAATCGATCCTTCTCCATGAGTTCGAAGCTTCGCGCGCAGTCATACATGGAAGCTTCCCACTCCTGTCTGCTCCTCTCAGCACTGGAAGTTCAGATTGAATGAGTCCCGCCACCCAGCATCGCTTTCGGGACACTTGGAAAAATTTCCGGCAAATGGATTCCTATGATCACGATTCAGCGATGATATTCATCAGAGGAAGAATGAGTGATGAGGAAAGCAATGACCTCTTCTTCAGGGGGTTCATGCGGAAACTTACGCCAGGCAGCTTTGGTAATATAAAACGTCTGACTTCACGAGGCTTTCCTCGGCCTTTGCTTTTTTGGCCTGCATTTTGGCGAGTTCTTTTTCAGTTGAGGTGCTTTCGACGTCCCGATGGAGTCGTTCCACGTCCCGCTGATTCTGATAAGTCTGTCTCTTGAATTTGAGCTCCTCAGCTCGTTTGTCTTGGAATGCCTTCTGTTTCTTGTCTACCCCGTTTTCTAACTGCAAAACGATCCGAAAACGGTGTCCCGCTTAGATACGACACAATGATGCTCTATCGAATTTAATTCTCTGCACGTCAATCGTTACGGCGTCGACGGAACACAGTCCGGGACCCGTCACAGCCGAAAGCGATCACGATATCAGGGCTTTGCAATCTTTCGGAAATGCAATGTTATTGAAGTTTATATCACACAGCCTTCTCTGACTACGTCAATCGAATGATTCGCGCGTGAAGGCTCGTTGGTTCCTTCGTTCGTTCATTTGCCTGTCCGAAATCCTCTATTCGCGGTTGGGAACGATCGTATGGGAATAGCCGTCATTCGGGGAAGCCCGCCGGGTGAGAAACAGAGCCGGTATTTTTTTACCAACAACCCTCATCACGGATCGATCTAATTCGAAATATTTGAAAATTCAAACACTCAGAAATATCTGGCGCCTGCCACGACGAATCCGGAGGTCCTCCGTGTCTGAGTCAAAGAGACGAGAACCTTTCCGCGATGCCAAAGCTCCGTTAAAAATGTGCTCGTTTTCCACGGAGGGGTGCGTCGTTCGCGAAGCGGACAACAACCGTGAGTGGCTGAAGGTTCTCACCCGACGCAACATCTTCAAAACCAAGAGCCCAAGAAGGAAGACAAGAACCCGCCGTCATGAGCTAGAGCGGTTTGGAACGACTAAATTATTTTCTGAAGATTTCTGAAAGGTGCCTGACACAGAGGGAGAGGGTTGGTCGGGTCCGAGCTCATGACCCCTGTTTCTTCAAGATATGCATGTACTCACGTTTTTCCGAGTTTTAGCCTGGTTCTCACAGAGATGTCGCACAGGTTTGACCACCTCCTCCGTCAACGACAGGGAGAACGCTCTGGGGAAATTGGGCAGAAAATCAACATTCATCTACCGGAGTTCATGATAGAGTTCCGAAAGCTTGACCATGTCTGAGAATTGATACGAACCGATGGGTCTCGGCCTCAACTTCCATCTGGACGGAAACATTGCACCACGCGTTCGCACTCGACCTACAGAGCGAAACCCATCGGTGATTATTGGCTAGCGCTTAGGGACGCCTATTATTAGGGACGCTTCGTTTGGGGCCTTTGAGGAACAAATTATCGTTCACGAAAATAGAGCAAAGTTCGACTCACCCGAAATTATCTTTTGCGGCTTTGCTCAGTTTGACTGCGAGCTTGAAGAGACTTTTAGCGTAATGTGTTTCAAGTTCAGACCTAGAAAAAAGTGTCGCGCTTGAATTTTCTCCAGCTCGAAACGGGACTTCAGATCGAGTTTCCATCGGAATATGGATCCTAGAAGAAGCTATTCATTTGGCTCTTTTATTAGATTCATATTTTATTCCATTCATATATCTGCCGATGGAATCGTAAGGCGAAAACAATATCCCCATCGCACCTCTATACTCATCATCTGGGTTCACACATATCGTTGCTAGTGAGAGAGTCGTCGGCGTCAAGGGTATCGATTGCAGCACAGAGCCGATGCGGCGAGACCGTCGGACAGTAAATATCATTCGGAAGCGTCCAGAGTGGAAATTTGACGCCGTTTCTGCTCGGCTCGAAAAGCATCCACCCCTGGCTCCAGTCGATCCGAATCGAGTATGGCCTATTTTTCTGAAGCCCGGGACACATAATTTATTCTGTGGAGCATTCATCGTTGATTGAATGATCATCCATGAGTTTTGAAGTTGTCTTGATGGCGTGGAGCCAACGCCAGGAATCGAAACACTCGGTCTGGGGGTCTCGTAGGGTTCATCGGAAGGCAGAGAGGGTCCGGACAAGGACAGATCGGGCTCGTGGCCTCGACGGTGACGATGTTGCCGCGGTCGGGAATCTCTAGGACGGACCCGGTTGATACCTGGATCGAAGAGCCGAAGCGACTGTTCTAGTCCCAACTGGCCCTGAGCCGTGGCCCCGGCCGAAGAGTGTACCTGAATCGGATTCCCCAGTGCTCCGCGATGCCATCATTAGTTCTGTGATTCGCTATTCCGACGTCATTCGATCGGCGCTTTCAGGTTGTCACGCGTTGGGCAAAACGATTCAATATGCCGGAACATCGCGTATGAATGGCGCCTGATGTTCGCCCCCATCTTCAGTTCTGCCCCATCCCATGGCCTCCGATAACTCAAATCTTCATCAACTTTTCAAGCGAGAACGAGTGTGAATCCGCGAGAGCTGCGATACGATGCTGCCCACTGATCGGATGGCGAGAGATCCCTCCAATATTAACGAAGATTTTCCAGACGAGACCAGGAGGTCGAGACCAGATCGCGGACTTCAAGCTCTACTAGAGCTCCTGCGCTCTCAGAGAGACATTCTTCTCGGGAAAAACCGAAGTCCCTCACGGAAATGTTCAGATTTGGACGTTGTCTCTGGCCAAACACTCCTGATTGGAGTTCTGAGTATTTTGTCGCGCCGATGCGGGAAGGTTGTGCACCTCGACAGACCCGCCACTGAAGGCTTGGATGCAATAGATCCGCTCAGCAGCACAAGCCGCAGCATTGGCTTTTCGACGCGACTTCCGACTTCCATGATACCGATGAATTTACCTGGATAAGCGCTGAATGCGACAATGCAAACTACTCGATAAGAATGGTCATCACGGCAGAGGAGCAAATCATTCACTTTTCGCTTGAAACAACTAGGAATGAAGCAGTCCCTGACTCGAGGTGCGGGGTTCGGACTCTCCCTGAGGCTCCAGCGACCTCATCGCGTCTATTCATTAGTGAGTACCGGAGTTTCTGTCTACAGAGATCTTGTCGGTCGCATGAGAAATCCCTCCCTTCAAATGGACACCTGAACAGGCTGCTGTCAGCAGCGGAGCTGTGAGAAACGGTTAGTCGTCGAGAAGGTGCGTGAGAGGATGTCCCAAGCGAGCCGTCACGTTATATAATTTAATGACCTCCGAACTAAGAAAAGACCTCGTCCATCAAGCTTCCTAGTGCGCGGATATCCACGCTTGCAGGGGTGGGCAAACTTGGATATACAATGGTTGAAAGATCGCTCCGGACACCAACGAAAGCTTCTCGGGGATCGAAAACGCAGCTGATTGTGAGTGCCTCACTCGTGTGAAAAAGGGGGAGACTAGAAGATTTCCTGAAGATGCGATTGCTCACCTTTCGCTGAGGATATTTGCTATTTCTTTGGTGAACTCCGAGCCTTGCCTTACGATCTTTCGAAGTTCGTCAAATCCATTCGGACCCTGCATATGGAATGAATATTTTAATGCCTTCCAGAATCTCATGGCATCAGATGCCCCCTCCCCCGACCCACTGGCGGTATCGTGAGGAGTGTCAACAGAATTTTTCCCGACCGATGGAAATCGGCATCTCGATTCACCATCGATTGGGAATCACCCCGATTTTGTGCTAACAAGAGCGGCGAATCTGACCATGAGTGATTCGCGCCATCAATGTCCAAGTTTCCGAAGATTCGAATCGGATTTTCCCTTCGATGCTTTTACTGCTTCGAGTGAGGACGACAATTCTTCTGAGGGGATGACCTGATCTGAGCCAGTCGGATTACAGATATCGTTCCGTGGAGCCGAATATTAAGCGTGGACGCTCGCTCAGCGAAACGGACACATCAAAGGGCACCAGAAACACCTGCTGGCCATCGGCCGCCTACCCAATAATGTCAACAGCTCGATCAGCGGATGGCCAGCGATACCACAGATGTTATATTTGAGCTTTCGAAAGGAGCATTCCACTATTTACGAAGGGAGGAAAGAACTTCTTGAATTGAAGGGTCCAAGGACTTTGAGGATCACGAATCATGGAACAGATGTGAGCTCGATGGAGTGATTCGAGCATCGCGGATCCATCTTGAGCTCGAGAGAGAGTAGACTGCAGATCAGTACTCCGTATTCAGAAACGACTTCGCCACGCCATGATCGGGTTGGAAATCAGAAGACACGGAGCGGTGCTCAGAAGTTAGTCCAGAACAAAAGATCATTAGAAATTGTCTAGAAAATTCACCCTACTGGAAACAATGAGCTCGCGTGTTCTCGATTGTTCCGAATGCGAAGGAAACCCTCCGAGAGCAACAATCCCGCCACGATTTTTTTCTTTTGAAACATGCCGACTGAGAATTGTCTATTTGTGAAAACATTCTCCTCGGACAATGAAGCTATCGGCCCGAAGTTCAGAAGCTGGCGCTAAGAGGCCCCTCCCGGTGTGTCACCCTCGGAGCTCCGTGGAAAGGCTCATTTCATCTCAGCCCCCGCGGGAGAGGCTCGAATCCGTAGAGCGATATTTCATAATATAGGTTGCGACAAGATATTCCGAACGGGTAGTCCGGAGTGGTCGAGAAGGAGCTGGCTGAGGCCAACGCTCGACCAGAACGCGAAAAAGCTCCTATCGAGACATGAAACCTAGCACTGTGCTTCGGAGACGTTCTCATCGAGTCAACTTAGTCGTAAGTTTGTCGAAAGGGCGAAAACGTGGTCTACGGCCAGCTGGTCATCGCCCAGATCTGAGCCCCGGTGAGTATACATCTGTTCAACGATTGGTCCAACGTCCGCGATGAAAAAAACATGAGCTGCATACATCGTTCCTATCGGGGACCAGAGAAATTACGGATTCGATCCGAAAAAAAACAGTCCATTGAACGGGAACTCCGGTCATATGCTGGAAGAGCTCGCTGCCAGTGAGCTCCGGGAATTCTGATCCAGGTATGCGTCCTTCTAACGCACCTGGGCGAGCAAAGGGTTCGAGAGTCGGGGTTTGGCCTTCCAGACCCTTGAAGCCATGATGGTGATCGGAAACGGAGAATTCGCACTAAAGCTGGACATGACTCCATTGGAAATCTTGAGTCAAAAGAAAGACTCGTCGTTTCCGACCGAGGGACGCCGCCACGATTTTTCGACCCTCGAAGAATGGAGCCTTGTACGCGGATAAGCGAGTCGCCGACCGGACCCTAGGCTCGATTCGTAGAATTGACGGAAGGAAGCGAGTCTTGCTGTCAGTGAACCTACATCCTCGTCGTTCAGGAATTCATAGGACAGCCGAAGAGAGAGTCGGAAGCGATTCTCGCTCCGGAAAAAGCCTTCAAGCTCGTGATATTTTTCCTTCCCTTCTGTCTTCGTCGACAGACCGCAAACTCAGAGGTAGACTCTCGATTCCGCTAAGAAAAGACGGTACGACTCGCGACATCCATTACCTGAGAACAGATCGCTTCTCCAACAATACGGCTTCGGTTTTGCGCTTGCTAGGCGAAACGGCTGGCTGCTTGCAAGACCCTTCACAAAAGTGAGATTTCTAGACACTTCCGCGCCGAATGAGATTCAATTCCCTCTCCCACAACGAATTCTTCACGCGCGCGACGTCGAAGCACACCGAATCGTAATTTCGATACTGATAGGTGATCGTGACGCTTGTCCAAAAACTATCAGGAGTATCACTCAGGCTCGCGACCCTGCTCGCGGCTTGGAAATAAATTGAAATCATTGCCTGCTTCAGCGGTGGTTTTCGCACGGGGCACCGATCACTCGTCGCGATTCCGGGCTGGCAGTTTCGCATCGCTAAACAAACGACAATTTTTTTCACATATCATCAACTGAGCTGAGATTCCTTCTTTCGGCTCGGCAGGTTCTCCGTTTTCTTTCCCCGACCAGCTCTCACCGTCAGATGAGCATAATGATGATGAAGACGACGGCGGCGGCTGCAGAATGTTGAAGATTTTTCTCAAGAACGGCATCGTCGCGTTGACCGAAATGTCGACCAAGTCTGTCAGGTGGCAGAGACAATCGCAGCTTCGCGGTGATAATCAGCGATTCGCGATGTCTGCCGGCCGGATATAGACACCCTTGAACGGAATCGATTCCGACACCGGAGTCGAATCGTTTCTCTCACATCAGCTGGGGATCCTACGATTAAGTGGGATCCGATCGATGCCACCGCAAGATCGAATCATAGGCTATCTATCGTTGGATCCGGAAAAACGTCGCCGAGTCAATTATCATCATGAAATTCGGAAACGAGTCTCAGATGAGAAGTTCCGCAGCAGACTTTCGCTCTGTGAAGATCTCCCATGACAATTCATGGAAGATTCTATACGAAGACATTGGAGATCTCCGCCGATGACGCGGAACAGGAGTCGACGATGTTTGAAGTCCAAGTTTCCCACCGCTTGCGACCGACATAATCGATAGAGCCACAAGAGATTTCAGACTCCTTCACTCAACCAATTCTGTTCGCCTCTTCAATTAGGCCGGCATCCATCGGAGGCATGTCCACGAGGTGGAAACGGGGTCCATCCCGGGAATCGCCGAGAGTCGCTACGAAAAAATCCCCCGAAAGAGCAACACTTTTTGTTAGAGTGTTGTTCCGCCAAGAGACTTCCGCCGGGGCCGTTTTTAGCAGTCGGGCGACGAATCATCTTTTGTCGGAGGCGTTAGCGCTAAAAGTACCCGACTATTGCTAGCGGCTATCGGGAGGCGGTGAAATACCAGATATTGCGAGACTTTCATATATTATATATGCGACAAGCTTCTTCCCCTTGGAGCCCGGAGCTGTGTCGGCATAGCTCAGAACCCCACTTCAGATCTCTTCCGATCTGACTGCATGGGTCATCACGTCGAATTCGCTAAGCCGCTGTGGCCTCGCAACTAAGTGAGTGGTCCCGTACTCAATGTGGGTATGAGAATGACTCAAGCCCTTCAACCTCGCTCGAAACTCCCCCTATCCTCGGGAGACTCAACCCGAGTTTTTTAAAGGCCACAGTCTTTGAGCGAATGCAATCTTCGAGATATCGTTCTATTTTCCATAATGTTCAGACCGGCTCTGGATTTCGAGACCGAGAAGGAGGGCTGACATTTTCTCAGGTCGAACGCTGTGTCGTTGATTCGTCACGATAGTAGTGAGTTCGATGATGTTTCTCCGTTCCGAAGCACATGTTACGATTTTCGAATTGAAGACTCCTAAGAATCGCAAACTCTGCCCGAGAGTTTCCAACGCAATCTTAGAGCACGACTGTCAATTGGTTTCTTATTTACCCAAGTGGTGTGACGCCCATATTCCGATGTAGGAGCATTGCCTAGTCAGCTACCCGGTCGACTGGCTAGCGAGCGTTTCCCCGCCCATGATGAATGGCCACAATAAAGTGGAAACCAAGGTCCACCGCTTGAAAGAGGAAGGAAACGCCACGGTATACATTTCTAGCCATAACGTCGCCGGTTCAGGGGTCAACAGCAGCCGGTGTGAATCAAATCTAGATCCAGCTGCTGCTTCTCGGCGGAGATCTACCTTATCAGCTGATCAATTTCCTGATGCTTTCGTATTCGTAGACAATGTACACGAGCGCTTTGACAGACACGCACCGTTTGAAAGTGTGTTTTCGGAAATTTATTTGGGGCTTCTTTCCTGCGTTCCTAGATATCGAAGAAACTGAGCAAAGGAAAGATCATCGCCAAGATCAGACCCATTCACGTCGCGTCTCCGCAATAACACTCCGGGAACCGTTTCATGTAACAGCGAACAACGGAGCTGTCTACAATTGAAGCAGCCTAGTGACGAGTGTTCCCTATCTTCTTCGATTTCTCCGACTGAACAACCGAGGGGCTGATAGCTCTCAATAGTCAGTAAACGCTAGTCGGAAGAGAGGCAAGAAACTCACCCAGAAAGCGTCCTTGAACTGGGTCACACTCCCGGAATTCATCTTGAATATCTTTCAAACAGATACTGAAGTGAATCGAGTCTCAACGTCCTCGGTGTGTAGTGGTTTACTCCTCGAAGTTTCCCATAACTCCGACTCCTCCGTCGATGCTCGGTCCTCGTCCTCAGGCCTAAGGGGAAACACTCGCGATTAGAAGCCTGGAAAGTTATCTATTTTCCGACAAATCTAGTGCATTGTTCGTGGATTCCGATATCGAGCTTAAGGCAGCAAGGTTCGCGACTCGCTCCGCGCCGTGGTCATCATCATCAATTTGATCGACAACATTAGAAGATTAAGAATTGCGAAATCCATTTGACCGCTCCATGTATCGGGGCCCTGCGAATGAGCGAAACCTTCTCGCTTGTTTGAAAGATAGCAATATGCGACCGTTGGAGATGAGGGCGGCACTTTTTTTTGAACGCAACAGGATCATTTCTCCCGTCCAATGTTCACCCAACGGATTCATTATGCGCTTCCCTCACTAAGTGTCCACTTGCAAAACCGACATCTCTGGATTTCCGTTACCGGTTTACTCTCATCGTCGTTTCTCTCACGCTATTGAGGCAGCTCAACGCCGCCAAGAAGGGTGACACTTTTTCCATCATGGACAACGGGGTTGCCCTTCTCTCGATTGGGATTCCCTTTTGCTCTCAATTATCCCGTTCGTAATAATAATGAGAGAATGACACAGCCCGGCAATCATTCGCTTCGCGCATATGCTCCCGAGATTCCAACTTACGCAACACATCGGGAAAACTGCTACAGCTCTGCTTGACGGTCGAATCGAACGAGAGAGCTCGGTCGTATTTAAAGAGAAACAATTCAAGGGCCGACAGCCTTCCAGATCTTCCAATGCAGCCAGCCAGCGAGCAGGCAAGCTCCATGAATCGCCACTCCCGGGCGGATCGTCGCAGAAAGACAAGCCACACCTGGATCGCGGGCTAGCGAACGATTCGAGTCAGGACGCGCTGTAGAAGTTGCAAGCGGCTCCCATGGCCCCGACAAGTTCGCGTCGCATGTGCGTAAGCGACTCGTATGCAGATGACGGCTTGCTATTCATTCGGGAGACACCACGAACTCACATCACAATTGAATTGCGATATTTCTGGTTGGCGCGCGCGCTTGAATAAACTCTGCCTCTCGTCACCGGATGCTCCCGGATCATGGAGGATGAATTTCCCCCGCAACAGAAACAGCCAGCCCGAGGACAGACATTTCGAATGATGGCCACGGCCCGAGTTGAGGATGGAGAACCGACTCCAGATCCCTGTGTTATCGGAGTGGGCAAGCTCGTTACGTACCCACCGATCCAAAGTCAAATTCGATGGGTCTCTCTAAAATCCTGCGGAAACACAGTATCCCAGAGTTTTCACTTGTTCTCACACTTTCGTTCACGAGCTCCGCACACGGAAGCAGAAACCACTAGAATGTTATAAAAAAAGACAGCCCCGCTCTTGGTGCTGTAACCACTAGTCGGTGACTACCGCCACCGTTCGAAATGCTAGTGTCAGTCGGCGCGGCGATGTTGTTGCTGCTCTTTGGACTGCTCTTCTCCCTTCGGGCAACGTCGCGCGGGTCCGTTACCGTTGTTGTCAGTTATACGAATAGACGCGAACGAGAGAGAAATCCCAACGACTGTTGCTGTCAGAGCCATCTGTCGGTGAACAGCATCGCTTCAAGCCGTGCGTCCAACCAAAAGTGCTTTGACGGCGGGGACGGCACTAACCCAAGGTTCCTGTAGAAGAGCCGGTTGCAGCACCGCGCCGTAAAACAAACACATGGTCGCATCTTCTTACCTTCGGTCGGTTCGTTACTTTCGAAAGATAGCGATGATGATGCTGCTAATTGTTTAGACAATCCGATTTTTGGATCTCAGCTGATTCCCACATGGAGCGCCTCGAAACGACTCGTGGAAGCCAGGAGTTCCTGGAGGAAAATATTAAAAACACCGACAACCGGGAAATCCTCGAAGCGAAGGATGCCGGGATGATCCTCTATGGACTCTGTAAAGAATGTGGCTGAATGAAAACGCGGGCGATTCTTAAGCCAAAACATTGCACTGACGGTTTTCACCTAATGTATTGCTGATACACTTCGAAGCTTCGTCTTCGCTCTACAGCACACAGACGCCGCACGATTCTCCCCAGCTCCCGACTTTTTATAATGAACTTGCAGAACTCTGACATTGAGCCGAAACTCAGCGGTCTCCACGAGTAACGTCCGCAGTACCGGCAGATTTTTTCTCGAGGCATCTAGCTCAATCTCGCTCGATAAACTTAATGTAATCAATAGCAACCCGTGCTTTTGCAAGGAATAAACCAACAAAGTATGAATTTTCGTCCGGGATTCGTGCCATGGCGTGTCAGGACTCATGCGGCATTGTGGATTGGGTCTGGGTCTACGCCTCCTTGGTCGTAAATAAACGATATCGTTGCTTAATGTGACTCATTTGGGGAGCTTCGTCTGCAGAAATTGTGTCGATCAAGGATTGAGAGGACGGATCTATGTGCAGTGATATCAGGGCTCTACATGAAGTCCTCTTGATCGACCGACCCGCTCATTCCTCGGGATGAGTCGGCGTGAGAAGAGTTGAATCGGTTAGCCACTGCCTCGACAGGGGATATGCTCCAGCCGAAATAGTAGTCGTCCCACGGCTTGAGCGAAGAGATTATGTGTTTGACGTCTTGGACGATCTGTCGTAGGGCTCTCACAGGTTCTGGACTGCAAAAAAAAGCTCTCTGTTACCGTCCGGCTCCGGAATCATCCTTCCAGCATCCGGCGAGCGGATAAGGGTCGATAGATCCAGCTCCAGCTTCGGAGGGCATGTCCACTTCAGTATTCCAATCATTCCATATCGGAATGCCGGAGGTACTCCGTTCACTCACTGCAAGTTCTTGATGATGTGGAGTCGCTTCATGAAAGTACAATTGAGGAAAGACAGCTGTGTGGTGCCCATACGCTTCCCGTCGGTGATCCGGAGAACGAAGTTCAGCCAAATACGCGAACCGGGAAACGACTGTGCTCCGAATTCTGTCAAATCCAAACATTGAGATTTCATCATCTCTTCTTCGTCCGAGTCCGACAGTGCCGATTCCGAGAACCAATTTCGACGGAGAGTCTTCCGGAAGTACAACTGCGGAACATGGGACAACATAAACGTTCTGTGAGCAGAATTATCCCGCCAGGGAAGACAAGAAGCATATTCGGCAGAGCTGCTATGCTACCTCAAAGAAGGCATCGAGAGCGTCTGTCTCGAACTTGCATCTGCTGAAAGTGCACGAATTCGTGAGGGGACTTCTCAGGATGAGACGAACTAGGTCCGTGTCCACCGTGGTGTCGGTGATGCTGAGGTCTTGAAGGTTGACGCAGTACTGCAAGACATCCTTGAGGTGCGGCGTGAAGTACAGAATCTCGAGCTGCACCAAGTTCTTAGCCGCGATCTGGGGTGGGGGTTTCGGGAATTTAAGCCGCGGACGAGAGGAGTCTTATATGCCCGAGTGCACCTTCATGGTGATCGTGCCGATAACGATCCAGGACTAAAGGTGTATGCTCCGATGCTCGTTTCAATACCGCGGGAACTCACCACGGTCGAGTACGTCTTCGCCATGTCGCTCAGCGGCCCTTGGAACTTTGCGCGTTTCAGAACGAGGAGCACCTCCTTGTTGCTCGACAGTTTGCTCTTGACAGAGACGATTCTGTCTTCAACCCGCAGCGATGGGACGCTGCAAGAAAAATTCTTTCTCAAATGCCGATACAAATGACATCCGTTCCTGTGTGGTTACCCGTCTGAGTAGCTCCTTCATCCAAAGAATGAGCATCGGCGGATTGCGCTTTGAAATTCCGAGACGGGATTCGTTCTCTCTCTTTAGATTCGGGAGCGACACAAGAGTGCACGGCTGAATTGGATCTACTCACCAATGGAATCGCTTTTTCTCCCATTGCGCTGCGGCGGAATCGGTTTTTAATCTATGCCTTCACTGCTCTACACCGATTTCACAATAAATTATTTTCCGCGACCACACAGTAGCTTCCATGTCGAGCGCTCTGAGTCCCGACCCGAGTAGAATCGGGGAGGAGGAACAGCTTGATACCACTCACCTTGCCACGCTTCTTTCAGCATGAGCAATTTATCCATCGCCATTCTTTCACAGTACCAACCGTATGTTTTTCCCCATTCACGCTCGTAGACTTTCATTATGTTTTGGTGTCATACTCGTCGACACGAGACACATGCGTGCACATCGCGACTCACCGAAAGTGGAACATGTCCAAAGACGACAGCAACCTCGATATGGAGCAACGAATGCACAAATTGAACTCGCGCTCGGCAGTACTTCGTTGGCTAAAATAACTTCGTGAGTGAGTGAGTGACAAAGTGTATGAGTCAAAACCTAGATGCCACAATTTCTATTTCTCGAGAGTATTTCTCGATCAGCTCGTACTGGCTCCAATGAATGGGCTGAGTCGTTGCCGTGGTCATGGAGTCGGGAATGCGAATGAATAATGCTCATCGATAATCAGCACGGAACTCCAGTCGCGGGCGTCAAATCCCGTTAGATGAGGCACCGTCGGTGATCATAGGGAACAATGTGATTGATTGGTCTTCACCGCCGGTCATCAGGGTGTCGCAGTCGAGTGGATTGTTTCATTTCACTCCATAAATCATTTCCAGCTGCTGAATCATCTGATCGCGCTCGTGGTGTACTGTCGGCCCGTAGGGTCGACTTTCTAATGTCATCGATTCCGCTCCATGGCACAATAAATCATAGTTCGTGGCGTCGTCTCGTGATCGAATGCCCTCCGCCGCACAGTGGCTTATACAAGGGGGAGGGCGATCGGGTGATCGCCCCCCCGTAATACTTCGATCTTCCTTTACCTCCCACATTAAAGGAGCGGCCGGAGCTCGAACCACCCCCCCAAAATACATTGACCGCCCCTCCCGGAAAAAAATCCTGGATCCGCCACAGCCGCCGTATCTTCTTCCGCGGGAGCGTCCGAGCGGAAGGCGAAGGAATTGGGACGAGGTTCCAAAGGCCTTCCCTAGGAAACGCGCTGCTGTTGGACTGATCGCTGCTACTTGAGCTTGATTTTGAGTGTCCGCAGAGCCCAAGGACGAGGCAGCGCCTCCTCCGTGCGCGCTTTGGTGCTTCGTCGTAGAGCAAACTGGAAGGCTTTCGGAGCTTGTCCCTTCCATTATGCATGCTACAATCGGAGCTCCTCTCAATCCTCACTCTTCATGACTCTGGTGGTGAAGTCTCAATGTACCGGGTAGAAATTCTCTGCAGAAATTCTCTCAATGCTCGGAGAGAATTCCTCCCAGGTCCTTCATTTATTTTCCTTTTTATCTGATACATTTTGAGGTCATGGAGCAACATCGCGTCAGATGAGCATCTCAGGAAGGGTCGTCCCACGTGAGCGCTTCCAAGGTCTCATGGCGACGAGATTTTTACTCGCCCAGGAATCCACGGAGTATCAAAGCTAATTGAATGCCGTTGATATCGGCTCAAAATATTCTTACGGGACTGGCAAAACCTGTTCGTTGCAATGAATATTCGCAATGGGTTTTCTTCGATACTGTTCCTATGGAAAGCCAGTCAAAGGAAGAAGAAAAAACAGTGTGGGTTGTGACGAAATTGCACTGTATTACTGACTAGAATTCCCTCGAGCGGCCCTCGAGACTCGGATACATTCTTCTTTCACATAACCACGATCAAAGCCAAGAAGATGATGACACTTGGCAGGATGAGAGTCCATGTGGGGTCAATCGATAGTCGGGGTCCCTTTTTCGCGTCCTCAGGAGCACTCTCGGCCAGAATTGCGAGAACCAGACCCGAGAATATCGATAGGGTCGACGTGAAGAGGACAAACACTGTGGAGGGAATCATGGTTGGAATCGACCCGACGAAAGATCAATGTGTTTCAGCAGGGAGGGGAGCTCCATGGAAATCACTCGTCAGGTCCTGATATCGTTGTAGAGGTTGCGAGTTTCAGGACAGGGAGCAGTACGTACCGACATTCGGTACGTGGCTGGTTCTTGTGTAGACCTCTCTGAACAAACTTCTGGAAGTTATGACGGATGACATCAGCAAGAGACAACAGAATGAAACTCTTCTTTTTTTCACACGATATGAAAAAGCGTTCAGAAGAGTCAAGCCGAGAGCGGGTTTCACCACAGAGCCTCTGGAAAAGGATCATTGAGCTGACGTTCCGTTAATGGATGAAGGCGTCTGATAGAATACCGGAGCCTCAAGCATGTGACCACATCGTGCAGCTCGCCGCTCACATGAAGCTTGAACGGTTCCGGATGAACTTGAAAACGTGGCTAGTCCTGCCAGCGGTGACGTTCGTCTTCAGCTCTTCCTGGACTAGATCGAATTCGCCATGACGTTTCCTATGTCGTTGCTTCTCCCAGCACTTCGAGCTCGGCAGAACCGTGGCATTACGAAGCCCAAAGCCACCGATTGAAAATTGAACTCTGCATTCGAAGCCGTCATACGGAAATGGGTCCTCCATAGGACTGCAGATCAATGTGGTGTAATATTCGTTGACGAGGGACCGCACGACCAGTCGGTTGTACGAGCCATTGTACTGAGTCTCGAGAACAACATCTGCGCGGTTTGCGATACTCCATCTGAGTGAGTTGAAAATAGACGACATCTTATTTAGAAAGTCCTCGATCACCTCGTAATATTCTGAACTCAATTTGTTCGTTAGAATTCTCAGACAGGGATGAGCTTTGGGAATCTAGGGCGACCCGGCTAGAGCTCGTGACGGAACCACCTACGCTTTCATGCTACAGATGACACGGGGATACCAGATTAGGCGTTTCGGAACATGCAGCCTCTTTACACCGTCGAAATCCTCCGGATTCCACCCAGAGCCTTCGTAGCTCCATTGCTTTGGATATATAATCGGAAGTGGATAGTTTAGTGAGCTTGAGAACGCTCTCTGTTGCTAGCGAGGATGGGATACCATGCGAGATCCCTCATTTCTTTTCAAAAACTATCGGACGACGATAGCTGTGAACGGATGAACACTGACCACTTCCGTGCGAAGAGTTGCCTGTATTTGAAATTCTTGTTGCAGCAGAGTGATTCCACCGACGATGCAAAGATTCAGGAGAAACTCGGTGGAGTTCTGGGAAAAGATTCCTTATCTCACATGACAATGTCGGCGTAAGTTTTCCCGGCATGGACATTTTAAAGAGCCGGCTCGTCAATGTCAAGGTATGGCCTGCCGGGAGTCGGCTGGACCGGTGCATATCAGTGTATATATAGAGTAAACTCGGCTATAACCAAATGAAACTTTCTGCGTGTGCGAGAGTGTTGCGACTATATATGATGCTCGTGAAAGACCGTCAAACGCATTCGATTCACTAACGAGGCAGCGTCACTCACCCCGCTCGGACCGCTGAATAGTGGCACGTCTCTCGACGTACTGAGGAAATCCCACAAGGTTCGACTCGGGAACACGAGAGCTCCAGGTGACTCTTGGGATGAAATTCCGAACGTGAAGCATCATCTGACCGTTCGAAGTGCGAAAGCGATTGAAACCGGAACGGGGAGAGCTGAAGGTCATATCGGGTCTCACCTGTTAGCGATATGCTTGGCAGAAATTCTTCGATGGTCTCCAGGAAACTCATGTTTTAGAATGTGGACTCATGTGACCGCTCTCTGTGAGAATGCGTGATCGGAGGCGTTTCTCGAGGTCACTCCCACCGGAGCGTAATGCTCGAGAAGTCGTTCACATGGAGAGAGGGAAGAGATACTTTGTTCCAAAATGAGACATCTTCCTCCCGAAGACGTTGCTCCGGAGGGGTTCCCGTAAGCATACCTTCAGGAAGCTATACGCGGGGCGGATATTCTTTACGATGACGTCAGGCTCGCCCTCGCTTGCCTGACCCTTGCCGTTTCGTTCCGGTGGCTCAACGACGACGATCTTCCCGAAAAGCTGATCACCGATCAGCGAGCGCAGACGGATTAGCAGGTGAGTATCTGGATTTCACCTCGGTTCGGATTGAAGAGCTCTTGCCGACCCTGAAACCGGGGCTCTCATGGCAGCGATGAGAATACTCGTCAGCACGAAGGATGATTCCGCCGGCCGTCGTGCGGACGGCCGCCGGAATAAGCTCCCGCGGAGTGTGTGGGATAGAAATCGACTCCATCGTGCCGTGATTCTGATTGGCCCGACCCTCAAAGGTTCCTCTCTCTCCGAGCTCCCTGTTTTCGCTGATTAGAGCATGCGACGCTCCGGATGGATGAAGTCTGCTCCTGACCGGGGCGGTGACTGTCCTCATTCAGGGTTCTGACCCTCGTTGACTGATTAAGAATCAGTGATCATCGATGAATTTAAGAGTCCAACTACACCCGCTACACACAAGGAGCGGTTACGTTCATGCATCGGAGTGTTTTCACCCGGCAGCGGAGTCTCATTTGCGGACGGAGGGACTTCTGGGAAAACACTCCGAAATCGCTTTAAAATCACCGAGGTAGAGCAGTGCTGGCGTTGTCGAGAAGTTCCGCGGCGGCCCTCTGACTCTGACAGCTCCGGCGCGACCCGCGCGTTGTTGCATCCGGTCTTGGAGGAATACCGCGTCACGCGTCCGCTCCCAGTTGCGTATTCAGATTCGCCAAAGTCGCATCGGTCGTATGCCTCTAAATATTCGCCCGGTCGACGCCAATGAGCCGTTTAGCCCGGTCCGGAATCTGGGATACGCGAGTTGAACCGAGTAATTCTTGATTTCCGAGAGTATAATAAGATGCAGAAGCGTGGAGATCGAATCTGATCTCGAAAGAGATGGGAAAGCTACCAATTCAGCATCTTGGAGTACCACTCTCAAGTCGCCGCTCGAGTTTTGACCTTGAATGATGACATGCGGCCGTGTCAACTTTTCCACGGATCCATAGGGTGCTTCGACTATAGATTGTTCCGTTAGACGATCGCTCCGAAACTCGCCACTCTCGCCACTCGGGAGGGTTATATTGTTCGAAATATCATAAAACTATGCGCGTGTTCCAGAAATTCAATTGCGATGTTCAACCAAGTCAACGCCGTGCTGGCGGCCTGTGCCGTTGCTGGTCTCGCTCTGGGGTGAGTGCATTCGATTTTGATGCTTTCAGGCGGAGAATATTTTTTCAAAAACATCTTTCCAGCTTGAGAATACCTTACCGGGATTTTTCCCTTTCGAATGAATCGGGTTCTGTGTTTGATCGAAAGAACATTTTCTCGGGCTTGGCCGATTCCCTCCGAATCTACGATCTCTTCGCTGTCCTGCGCGTGGAATAAAGAAAGGGACATCCCCGCCCGCACTCTGCACCACCGCATCTCCCCAGTTCACTCCCAGGCGAAGATTTCCCCACCTTGGGCCCTCCCAGCACAGCTCCCGGAACACCGAACTATTCTGGTCCGTCCGGTGGGTGGCCTTCCCCATCCGGATACCCAGCAAATCCCTCGACTCCTCATCTTGAGGGTTTCCCTCCTCTGAGTGGCGTTGTCGCAGCTGGCGGAGGCTCTCCCGACGCTTGGTCGAGAGCGCCCAGTCCAGGGCGCTCGTCCGTGAATCCTACACCTGATCCTGCCCCTCAAGCGCCCCCGAGGAGAAGGCGTCCTTCCCCCCCGAACCGCTCATCCCCACCGAGGAGTCCATCTCCGCACAGGTATAGAAGTCGGAAGTGGATTCATCGGAGGAGTTTTCATGGCCGGATCATTGTGATTATCGAGATCCAGCAGCTTTCGATTCACGCTGAGAAAGTAGAAAGCACCTAACTGAAAACTCCGCCGATTAGAGACGGTTCTCCTGACGGATCGTATAGCCATCTCGTTCTATCGCTCCAATGGCATGGAGGCGTTTGCGCGGATGGGAAGAGCGACGATAGGCCGGTGAGTGTTGCGTGAGCGGAACTCATGATTCAAAAAGAAACTGGAAATATTCGAATGGTGTGCTCAGGAATATTTGGAGTGTGGCGAGCGAGGAATAACCCGACGAATATCATCTAGTGCGTCGGAGAGAGCAAGCGGGACACGTGGACCATTCACGGGCTCTGGCCAAGCCAGGGTTTCAGCTCCCCGTCATACTGTTCCGAAGAAGCATTCGACGGTAGACGCCTCGAGGTAAGAAATCTCCTCGCGGGAGACGCGCTGACGATTTCGTCCTCCATAGCGACTCTCCGGAACCCTCACGGATCCTCTCAAGACTATGTTTTTCTGTCAGAAACTGAAAGGTCAGCTCAATCAGAACTGGCCCTCGTACACTGCGACTCAAGACCGTTACTTCACCTTTTGGAGACACCAATGGCAGAAACACGGCACCTGCGCCAATGATGTTCCCCAGTTGAACAGCCTCGTGAAGTTCTTCGAGACCACTCTCAAACTAGCGAAGCAACACGACATCAAAAAGTAGGTTTCTCGAATATCCTCTCTCATGGGCCTGCGAGCGCAAATCGGATCCGAAAGTAATTTTTCGAGCCTTTCTCATTTCACCAGATATCTGGAGAACAGCAATATCAGGCCAAGCAGGCAACAGACGTACCAGGTGAGCACCTCGTCATTTTCCGCTTCAGCTGGCCTGAGTCTTCGGGATTTCCCGATTTGAGAATCATTAGCAATGCATCCATGGCTATTTCTTACAGCCCCAACAAATCATGAGGGCATTCGCCGATGATTTGCCGTCCAAGCTCGACGTCGTCTGCAGTGACTTCAGGGTGAGCCCTTGAGATCCTTCATCTTATCTAGTTGGAAGGACTAATGGGGGAGAAATTCCATTCTAAGTGGGTGCTTTGGTCGATCTCATTGCAGGGTAAATCTGTTCTTTCTGAGGTCCGTCTCTGCTTCGACAAATCCTTGAAGCCCATAGACTGCAGGGGTCAAAGTTCACGTTGCGGGAACCAAATTTACTATCTCCCCGTTCAGTGAACTCGGGGCGTGTTCATCGCGGGACTTCCGGCGAGAGGAACAAATAAACCCTCATGCTTATCAACTTTTTGCTCGATTGTGTTCCTTTCATTTCCGAACATTGTATGGAGGGTCTTGCCGGGGTAATAATCCCTTTCTCGGTCCGTGGGGTTAGTTTCTCATCGACCTTCGGTGATTGAAGAGACGTCTTTCGAAAAACTTCTTCATTCGTCATTTATTATTCTTGTCGCTAGGTGAGAAGAACGATTTCTTCATGGTTCATGTATTGTACAAGACACGAAATGCCGATAAGCGTCGCAAATGATATGCATGTTTCATGAATTCGGTGAGAATCATCAACCTCGTTCGGGCCAAGGTTGAGTCCCAGGTCGTCTTCGTAGGTTTCAACGCTTCATATACTCATATATATATATATCCGATGTTATTCATACCCAAACTAAAATATTAAGCACAAAGTCCTCGGGATTATTCTCTCTTCCTATCTCAGGAGCTTATCACACACTAGGCACTACGGAAGCGTCGGTCGGAATGCAGCGGAATCCTTACGTTCGCCGGAGAGTGAAAGAAAGAACATCATCGCGCACAGTGAAATCAATCGCTTCTGTTCGGATCAAGGCATCCTGTCGAGTGGTCAATGACGAACGCTATATTGACCGAAGGATCAGAAAGGGCGCCCGCTCAGACACTCCTGCTGGTGAAGGCTCACGAAAGTTGAGGAAGATTTCACACTCGGTCCTCCCGAAAGTCAGGGAGAGGCGTGTGGTGCTCTGGGCTCAATTTGCGGTGCAAAGAAGCCGAGCAGTGCAAAATTTTGAAGGAATCCAGGAATCCCACGAAAGCCAGACCCCGGCATGGATGCTTTTGATGAGTGAATTACTACTGTTATAATCATTCTTATAAACCCGACTCCCAGTAAGGAAGCGTCCCTGGGTAGAGCTCGAACCCAACTGCTTCAGAGCGGAGCACTACGCAGCTCTCGAGGGGGAGCTCGACGGAGTACCCGCTTGCCAATGTAAATAGACGACACTGGATTCGCGCTTGGAGTTTTTGGGCCAAGAGCTCCAGTTGGTTAGCTAGTTCTCTTCTTCTAAGCTGGTGAATTGTTTGCTCTGCGGTGCGCTAGGAAAGACAGCGGATGGAATATTGTTCGATTCAATCGATTGCGAATCGCTTGATCGGTTCCACGAAGCATGAGGTGTTTCTAGGATTTAATGATGCTTGGGTTCGGACTTCTGATTTTGCTCTGTCAGCAGCGAGAACAGAAATTTCTCGGGTGAAAACTAGGGATCGGTTCTAGCGTTGCGACGAGGATGTCGTGAAGCTTGTGGTCGTTGATGTTGGTAACGACGTCACGGTGGATGAAGAATGCCCGGTCGATCTAACCTCTAGAAAACAAACAGAGATTTGCCGATTAAGTAAAAGGCGGGAGCAAGAGCGCATGCAGAAGCGACTGCTGGACTTGAACCACAACCCTGTTCCGCGACAGAGACGAGGATTTTGGATAGTTACTTCTCCGATTCGGAATCTTCTCTTGATTCCCCCTCTCAGTCTGTTGTTTCAATTAGGAGACAGACCCAGAGTACAGAGAAAGGAATCAGTATCAGGGACCTCGATGCAATCAAAGCCTTTCGTTAGTTCGTGCACAAAGAAGACATACACTCCGAGTCATTTATTAAACAGATCGTGTTTGTTATTTACTCTTGGTTTTTCTTAGGTTTCCCGGTCTACATTCATTATTTCATCTCAATAGCTAGGGATGCCGGATGGCAATCGATCCGGTCCTGGGTATTTTCATCGATAGAAAAGAAAGAATTTCTCCCAGCGTGGCGTGTGATAGACAGAGAGACAGACTGATAGATTGACAGTTAGACAGACGGTTCTACTGCCTGATTCAGACAGACAGGCAGACCAGCGGCCTGACTGAACGACCGATGGATCAATCCTAGGCGGGATCGCGATGGCGCAGGATATTGTACAAAAAGGCACGGAATAACACGCGAAACATAAAGGTACGAGTAACACTATGCGCTAACCGCACATCGTACACAGCATCCGTGACAGAGCGTCAATTCGTCGAGGGACTATCCACTCAAAAGTTCCTCTCGGACGACACCTCCCCGATACGATGATGTCGGTCTCTTGGTTGCTTGGTCGTCAGCATTGATCATCTCTGAACAGCGGAGCTCGCCAACTCGAGTGCTTGTCGATTGAGCGTCGCTTCATCGCTCGCCCAAGCGTCCTCGGATGTCAACGTGGAGACCACACCGTGATTTCCCGACTATTGCACGACACAATATACGCGTTTCGTCTTGAATTAATTTCTCTAGCTATATACAAAACCAAGGCGTCTCTGCTCCAGAGAGACAGCAACTCAGTCATATTAACAGATAATTATTGGCTGTTGGCTCAATCAATGAATATACTTCGTACTAGTAGTCGTCATCCTCACCATTATTACAAGGAATTAATGACTTTGTTTGTAAGTTTGTTTGCTATCTTTCTTCCGTCGGTTCTTTTCACTGTCGTCACATTTCTTCTGCTTCCGGTATTCCGAACGGCTAGGATGGAGCAGTAGTCATCTCTTTCTCTCGTTCAATCGCTCTTGTACCCCTCGGATATATCAATCGGGTGTATGATGGTCGACGTATGTTACGACCTCACCACTACTTATTACCTCAGCGTAAGTGGTGTACAGCCTGAGGACAAGCGGCAGCTATGCTAAAAGCGTCAATCGAGATGTGCAAGAGAATTTCTTGCGTCTCTCACCCTAAATTAAGTTAGTACCGCGATTACGATAAGCATTGTTCTTATTGCCTTCATTCTATTGGAACGCCACCACCAATCAAAAGATCGGAATGTTATTGTCCAAAGCGAACGCCCGAGGTGTCCCTCGTCGTCCTCTCTTCGGTTTCCCCTACTATGCTCTCCCCGCTCCCATCTTCACCGTCAGTCAGAAGCAATAGCGTGAGGTATTCGCAGTTGAGCTGAATTTCAGTCGTTTCGTTCTGCTGGTGATTCGCGGAAATCGTATCCACGGCGGCTGAATCGACGGCCTTTAGGTCGGTATGAGTTCCCGACTCGTCTCGCTCGCCGCATTCATTGGACTCCCCCACAGACCGTCGCCGTTGCTGTAGTTGTTGCTCTGCAAAGCACGGCAAGCCGCCGAAAGACGCACTGTTAACAATGCAGCCAGCCTGCGCCCGCTATGCGAGTAGGGTAAATTTGGTATTTATTCCACAGCAGACACCCGCCACCAGTGAAAGTTCGCTCCGCTTGCAAGCGTGGACCAGAATATGGGAGATGCTAACGCTCGCATGTAATAAGAATCCTCTCCACTAAACAATTGTACTGCTCAATTTGATGATACACGTGCGCCGCCGCAATCTGTGCTTACGTCTCTGCGTCATGAGGTGCTTCTAATGCTAATCTATGTATATACCTTCTCAGACATTCAGCCAGTCGACCAGACAGACCGACCGACAAGATATCGTCGATATCAATCACGGCATTCATACTCATGTAGTAGCAGCGGTGAACTATAGCTCAGGCAAACTTCGAACTGCAGAAGCCTAACAATGCCGCTTTTCCGAAACATTATTATTTGCTGGCCGAGTGCTAATGACGTGTGGAATCTACATCTTATGTATGTATTCGTCTGATCAACTATATGAGCTATTGTTGTCAGCATTGTTGTTTTTGTTGTACTTCTCGAATTCAAATATTGGAGTATTCCGAGTAGCTGCTCCACCGATAAAGTTCATTATATTCCCCGTGGGTCGCCTTGCTTCCCAGCGGCGATCTTCCATCGACATGCTTCCTCTTGCTCGCGGTAGACATCGATGAATCAATACGTCGATAAGTCACCGTTCAATACACTCATCAAGATGAATCAATCAATCATCCATCCAACCATTCATCGCTACAGCTCACGAACAGCAACCGAGGATCCATCGGAGAAGGATTCTAAGCTTGTAGCTGTCATCGCGAATTTTACCACCTCAACGCATTCTTCGTAAGTAGCTAGCTTATCAACTGGGAACAATTCAACGTGTCCTCTTCCGATGATGATACTTTTAATTATTGTAATGATCGTAAATGAAACGTGAACGTGTAATCGCTATTATTCGATTCCTGCCGTTAGATGATGGCGATGGTGATTACGGAATGAGCTATCGACGATTTCTCCATCCGAGAGCTCTTCGTCGTCTTGGAAAAGTTCGGGATGGAACGATTCCACAGCACGTCCGATGTTTCCAGCCATGCTGAGGAGATTTCCCATTTGAAGTGCAGATCCACAAGCACCCACTGGTGTTCGGAAGCGACACGAATCACGTTTCCACGCAGCCGGACACACCCCGCGATTTGGAAGAGGAAGCACCCAAACCACAATTCATCGACAACAATTAGTCACAGACGTACGCACACGGAGATGCAGAGAAATCGTATACCCAATCCAATGTTGCGTCCGCAAGCAAGCAGCAGGAAAAAGAGAAGTAAGTTAGTGTCAGTGAAGGTTAATGTGGTGGATCGAGGATGGGTCGGAGATATAGACGATCGGCATTGATTTGGACACGGAACCTAATCAGTCTCTAATCGAAGAGCGTGTGGATCAGAGAGCTCTGCTTGGATTGGAATTGCTCTCTCGCGAAAGAAATGATTGAGCGAATGAAGCCATGATGATCCCTCGATAGAGTCTATTCCTGATTCGTAAGTCGGGTATTCCGAGAAAATTTTCTTGCTCTTTTTCACTTGTACAAGTGATAGAAAGCCGGTTCAGGGAAAACGGGTAAGGGCGGAGTCATTGGGTACATGGACCTAGTCGAGGGGGGCAAGGGGGGCGGGGGCGGTGGCAAATCTAGCCGGAGCTCAGCCCTCCGTGACTTCATCCCGCCAGGATTAATTTCAGTTACGATGGGGTCCGAGCTCGACATTCTTTCCGCTGTATTCGGTGTTGTTGTTGCTGATGTTTTTACTCGGGGGGAGTCGGGTACATTGGTTCCTTCCGACGGCACATTCTCTTGCGGGGATTCATCGTCTGTCGGCGAAGGAGCAGGAAACTCACCTAAATGACCACTCAACACCGAAGGGGGCCGTGTCCCGTTGAGGATGACAGGCCCGTACTCCGGGTCCCTGGCGAGTGCGGGAGTGATGACCGGGGAGCCCTCCCGCTCTTCGTCGACAAGTTGCCGTAATCGCAAGAGCTGCGTTTCCAACTGCTGGTTGTGATCTTCTAGGATTCGCATTCGCGCTTCGAGGCGGCCCTTATGTTCTCTCAATAATTTGGCCTCGTGCAGCATTTCTTCGTCGCGAGGCGTCAAGCCGTCTCCGTCCAATATCGACGGAGTAGTCGGCGAGAATCCTTCGCTCGCTCTGCCCAGAAAGTTATTCCATTGAACAAACGTCATGACCGACGGCAGAACTCTGAGTTCTGAATCTAAGCTAAGGACTCTAACGGTACCGAAGGGGGAGCTCGATATATCGGGCCACTCCGAGAAAAGAAAGGGTGGAACAACGAATGAAAGGAAAACTACGAAGGAATTTGGCGTCTCCCTCTGAATCAGGGGTTTTTGAGGTGTACCCCACACAGGGGTTCGAATTCCTCAACGACCACGTGCAGTTAGTGGGGTGTACCAGCAGGCAGAACCGAGGAAACGGAAACACCAATAATTCGAAAATGAGAACATTGGAAACTATCACGGAAAAATTCTGACGCTCATTGTTGCTACTCACCGCATATCCTGCAAGCGCTCATATTCGGCCTGAAGTTGCCTGTTCTCGTGCTCGAGTTCCTGGATCATCATCTCGAGTTCGTCTTTTTGGTCTGAACCTATCCGAGTGAGAATTTGAGCAGGACTGCGGGGCTGTAGGAACATTGAAGATCCAGGAGGTACTAGAAGTGCGCTTGAAGGCGCTGCCATCGTAGCTGGTCCAGCCCCGGCAACGCTTACACCCATTGAACTCAATGGAGGGATGGGAGAGACGCCAAGGCCTGCGTTTAGCGAACCGTTCGTAGCCAGGCCTTGAGCGTCTCCATTCATCGCAGCACAGTACGTATTGATCAACTGGTGTTCGTCCTCAGAACCACTGCAATCATAATTTCGTTAGTAATTCCTCTCCAGCATGGGGTCGCCGAGATGGGAACGCGCAAAGGTTGACCCAACCGTTTTGTCGATCGCACACTCTCAGACGTCGATTCCGCTTTTTTGGAAACTCACGATTCAGGAGTGGAGTTGGTTCTGGGTCTGAGCTGAACTTGCGCCAGCTTATTTGCGTAGTGCTCCATTCTCGTCTGTAGGTCGGAAGGATGCAACGTCGGCGGTGAACGCGGTACAGGGCTTTCCAGGTCATCTCCCTCGAGCACCGTCTGGACCGGAAGGTAGCCCAAACGCGGGTGCTTTTTGAAGTAGCGCTTCGATTTGAACTTGTTCTTCATAATCTTTGTAAAGTCGCGAACATCCTCACCGGATGTTGTCTGTAAGCAATCGAAGGTTCTTAATTCTAGGGTCGCGACATCCGACTTCGAGCTTGAGAACGGATGAGCACAAATATACGACGAAAATAGATAGTTTCGCGATTCCTATGAGTTTTTCTTATCGCTATCAAATTACTCTCTTGAAATCATTCGGCACCACAAAAGCATTTCGGAATGCGAGGGGAGCGGAGGCGATACTCACAGTCATGCAATACTCTTGCATGGGATGGCTGAGCTTGTGTCCCTTCTCTCTCCGTCCAGAGAAGAAACAATTCTGGCACAAATCTGTATTGAAGCATTTAAGGCATCGGTATCTGAAGCCTACGATGGGATACTGCTTGCAGATGTAGCATTTGGCTTGATGTCTGGCGGCCTCCGCCGCGGCCAGTCGGTGCATTACGGGAAGCCACACCAATGACTGGGGTTCTTGGAGGAACCAATAGAGGAACGACTGGACGTTGAGTTCTCGGCGACCTGGTCCTGCACGCTCGAAGCAAGAACGCACCGAAGGCTCAATGTTTGAACCTCCGAACGCGGCGACCTCGCCAAGTAGGCGCGGGATCTGGACGCAGTCGTGCAGCAACAGTCCCAACTTCCTCTCATCCGCATAGCCGTTCACGTCCGCAATCAAACGGAAGAGGTCTGCCGGGGGTAGAAGCGAATCATTACATATCCGGAACTTGATACAGATCGGGGCGCGCTGAGCACCCAGGGGAACCGGAGGGATCTACCCTGACTCAAGGTAAGGGCCGGGATCGATCCGACGTGATATCCGTAGGATGAGAACAGAGTTATGGCAGGGTTCGAGAATTTGTCGCATAAGTTGAGAAACTCACACTTAAACTTATCCTCTAGGTTGGCCCTGCATAGCAGGATTATGCCCACTTTGAATGAAAGCACACGTATGTGCCCGGTACGAGTGGCTCTGCAAACAGAAAGCTCATCTCAGTCGCTGATTTTAGCCCACGCGTGGGTGCTCGATCGATATAATCATAATTATTCATTTTATTCGCGATTCTCTTCGCAGTTTTCTAGTGATCGATGATTGATATGAATCTGCACCAAGTTCGATCAGTCTATTAGTGGATGTGATTAGGAACCTCTACTCACGTATCGTAAAGATTGAGTAGGAAATTGAGACACATGTCGACACACAATGGGATTCGGAATTGTTCTCCACTTTCACGCGTTACCCCTTCAAATACTGCCGCCAAACATTGTACCATTTCGTTTACCCCGATGACTTTGTCGTTTTGGGCACGCAGACCGTGTTGTTCGAATGCTGAGATCGCTACGTTCATGGACACGTAGTCCACTGGAAAGAAATTCCGATTTCGTTCCGTATACGTTCTCGCCCGAAAATCATAGCACAAGACGAACTCCGGTATTCACGCGTAAGGAGGCTAGCACTCGATGAACTCACGCGATAGTGATCTTTGGAGATGACGGATTTTCATCGCTGTTCGATAAGCTGCGAAGCGGACAGTGTTGTATGACGTGAGAGCGTCCATCAAATCGAGCATCTTCGGATGGTCCCAATGTGTCGTACCGGCCCGGTGGCTGCGAATTGAAAGAAGGATATACTTGTAGATATTGCGACGGGGTTAACTCCGTCCATTCTGCCCCTCGGGCGCAGATTGTCCTGACACCGTATCATCAAAATGCACCATCCTGGGCTAAGCGGAGGCCGACATGAATCTGATAATGAATTGTACTCACTTGATGTAATAAGGCACCTTATTGCCGGAAACTGCTCGCTCCCAGGGGGGATCGACCGACGCTGCAGGTAAAGAGGTTATAAGAATGGAACGCTCTGCTCGAGGAGGCAAGAGGACACGTAATCAAACATGAGGAAAATTCGATCAACGATGACAGGAAACCCAGATGAACGCTCCACCTTACAACTAACGCAACTGTCCCATATCTCGTAGACAACGGACATCTTCTCGCGCCAACTTCGCATAGAGCTCAGAGAGGAAGAAACAAAAAATAGACGCACGACCGGTAATGAAAAATCTCCCTAAAACGGCACGGACAGCTGGACGGTCGCTTTTTCCATCCTGGTACACAGTGACAAATATGTTGTGACAACTTATGCAACTTCGCAAGGATGCGTGCAGTCATACACGGTAGGTAGGTAGCTACCTGAACGACGCTCGTGTCGCAAACACACGAGGTGTCCGCACGATTTTCGCACGAGGCCGCGGACTTCAGCGAAAGTGAGCTTTTAATCTCTAGCGTGTTCACACTTGATCCCGATCGAAAATCACACCGGTCCAGATGAGGGATTCCGCTTGATTATAATATTATGGATATCGCCGATCATGTCGTCGACTGGAGAACCCTAACTCAGGTACCGCCTGAACTTACCATTGAGGAAACCTTGTTGACTTGCGCCCTGGTCGTGGAGAGCATGTTCCAACTGCTTTCGTCTCTCTTCAAGCGCGAGCTGCAGTATCCTCCAGCGGCTGTTCAGGTCCTCCAACCTGCTCGGGGAAAAGTCAGACTTGGCTGATTCTCAGGATTCTCGTTTCAGAGAGCAACGGTGGGCCGAGGGAACAATACGAACCTTGAAAGATTATGTTGAGAGAGGACCACTCCGCAGGCGGTTATTGCTGCCGCAGCCTCGTTTACACCGTCTACGGCCACCTGCATTGGTGCGACTCGATCACGGAAGTCCTGCAAGTCCCGAGTGAGAAATGAGATCAAAGCTCCTCACGATGCTTCCTACGATTTCGGAGCTAGCTCGTGAGCAGTCACTCAGAGCTCCGCAACTGAAATCAACGTCTTCGACAGCGCTGTGCTCACCTTGAGGTCGTCGATTTGCTGCGCGAGCTGGTCCATGGTGAAATCCTGGACGCTCGGCCAGTTTTGCTTGGCACTTTCGGCTGTTTGTAACCGGCCTCCCAACTCATCAAGAGCCCGTTGTAAGGCTTGCATTTTCTGGAAGAAGAAAGCGGACTATTATTAATTTCGGGATCGAGCTCATAGAACAGTTAGGCCCTCATCGGACAGCCGCAAGCTCAAGTCTTCTTCAGGTCGAAGTATCGATAAGTCTTAATCTTCACAACGATTCAATGCTCGCAACGATTGGGTCGGATTATTCCGGCGGGCGAAGAGAGTTCCATTCACTCATCAGAGGGGCGGGAGTATAGATGATCTCATCGAGCTCTTGAGAATCTCCTGCCTCTGACATTTTGGCAAGAAGCCTCGAGAGCGAAGTCGGATACACTTACTTTTGCTGTCAGGTGAGTGACTTCGTCTCGAGAAAATTTAGCGTTCACCTCAGGCGAACGGAAGGAGGTGAATCTCGCGAGACTCCTCTCGTGAATCATCTTGATTATTATTCTTTGAATTCCGGACAAGCTATCATGTCGTTCAAACACCACCGCTAGGTGGTCCAGAGCCGCTCAACCGAGTCGCAACCTAGGATTCAGTTTCCGATAAGGTAGTCTATTCATGGGTTTTGGAAGACTTCCCGACGATCGACACGAAATTAAATCCCTCTCCTTTTGGAAGGTGCTCGGATCTCCGCATGGTCGAAAGGCGGCGCCGGCGGCCGGTCGTATAAAAACCCAGGTCCCGTGTTGAGTAAACACAAACTTGGGTAATGCTAACAACACGCTTTTTGAGTAAGGGACTCAGAGGCAGATGCTACACAAAGTCCATCTCTCTCTGCAATTGCTTGTTTGTGGTTCGGCCGCGTGAGTTTCCAGCGCCGAAATGGCAATTCTCGTAGAGCGTTCCGAAAACAACCAAGCGGTTAGCTTAGGGAAAAACTGGAGAAGACTGTTCAGCGTGGAATTCTCCGAGCTGAGAGCGTACTTGAGCCGTGACTTGCCGTTCCCAGACTGGAGGAGCACGCTCCCGACGAATCACGAATCTCTCAATCGAAGTCTCCACTCCAAAGTTCTGGTTTTCGGTGAGGAGCGGAAATAAGGCGTACGAAAGCATGATCTCGACTCTCCAGCGAAACCACTGGAAGCGCGCGAGCTCCAACCACGCGGCTCCAGACGAACGGTCCCGCTCGAATGCCTCGATAGCGATGTGTTTCGATCGTGTATCATCGTTTGTCATGGTCAAGGGAAACCGCATGGAGCTGCGCTAGACACCAATGAACACTCCGGAGGAAATCTGGACTCGGGTCCATACGCCACGTCTTTCTTGAGCGGATCCGTCATGGAGAATCAACACGCAGCAATGGAGTCGGACTGAATTTCCGGAGGTTCCATCAATCGCACGGACACAGGCCATCCGGACTTTCAACCCTTCTCGTGAGTTGCCCGTCGGGTCGTGCGATAAACTCGAAGCATTGCTCGACTGGAGCGCCGTTCCGAAAACAGTTCCAGATATGACCGAGCGTATAATCCGCGATGGACATCGTAAAGGGTGGTCATTCTCGCCGTTGACGGCCAAGACATCTGCCCGGAGAATCAATCCGTGAATGACCCCAATTAGCTATTGCGGTTCACAGCTCATTCTATCTATCTCGATGACGAGTCTTATGACTGCATGAGATGCAGAGTCGCCTCGGATCCGCGATATCTCGGCTGTGAGAGGAGGCCCCTTCCGATTGAGGCTAACTCATCAGGATAGACCACGCAATCGCGGATTGGAACGTGCCTGTTCCGTGGCGCTTGCTCGATCGTTGGATCACACCTTCCCAACCAACGCGCATCAAGACCTCCCGAATTTCCAAGTCGATTTTCGGCTCCTCCACAAGAATTTCTCAAGGTGATGCTCGTTAGGACGGTTGCTCAAAGGGGCGAGAAGCTACCAATCTCAGTGAAATTGGCCTAGGCAGCCGCGGATCGCGAGCATTAAAATTGCATCATCGCATGTCGACCGGAAGCGAAGATCGAGATAATGAGCCCATAACTTGACAGCAGAAAAGAATGAGATCGTTCACGATTGGTTGTCCTTCGCCGTTGTCACGCCTGCTCATGAAGCCCAACAGGCACATCAATCGTGGGCCTCTCCGAGAAGCAAAATAAATTTCAGTCCACAAACATCCCGCGCGGACTAAAAGTGCTATCATAGTGAATTCCCAGCCCGTGTTTTCCCCCGCACTCGATCAAGCTCAGTGACTCTCGGGAAGCACGAGCGGTTTCTAACCAGACTCTCGATTCGAGAGATAATCCCAAGCCTTGACGGGCTATTCGAGCGTTTTGAGCACTCACCGTCGATCAGAAAAAAAATCGAATGGGAGCCGATCGAGTTCGAATCGGATGGTGAAGCTGGGCATCGGCAGCTGCGCGCATGTGATCAGCTAGTTTCGGCAGGACCTTCATGGTAACGTTTCCGACGGAGCGAATTACAGATATATTGACGGAGAACCATTTGAGTGACCTCTCGCGCGACCGACGGTACCTCTCTTGTTCTTCAAATTTCTCCTCTTCCTCCGTGAGCCGTCCATGAAACATCTCGCTCTCATGGACCTCTATGCATGGACTGCATCGCATTACGACGGCCGGTAGCAGAAACGTTGGTCAGCGGTCTAGACGACCGCTAGGATTCACGACTCGCATAACCGACGTTTTCCGCTTCACAAAGTGTTGACCGTCAGACATCCGGGGAAGAGACACAGAGAAACTTGCTCAGCGTACGTCGGATCAGGTCGACAGACTTGTCTGGGAGGAGAAGCGCGCCACAAGCTCGCGGAATTCCACTGAACGAACCACGGGAGACGGATAGAAAAGCCGCTCAGAGTTGGTAACAATGAGCGGAAAATGTGGTCCCGACCCCGGCTGATAAGCATCGAGTCACGTGTTCATTTTGACACCGCCAATCCATGACAATCTCTCGTGACTTGTGAACACAACCACCCGCCAGCGTTTGTCAATCGGACCCCACCAAGGCTCGATCGGGGTGAAACGGCGTAATGAGGGACCGATCGCTAGGTCGATAGACTCTCGGTTCGACGCATCTTCCAATTAAATGATCGGCAGATAGGTGGAGGCGTCGAGGGATCAATCCGACCGAAGCCTTGAGAACATTCAGGGAACTTCCACGCGGACCGCGGGCCTCCTCAACAAGCGTCCTGGGACTGTCAGAATTCCATTCTTTGAGAATGCGACCAGCTGAACTCATTCCACAACGGGAAGACTCCACGTCTGAGTGTGGTAGATCCGCGCACGATCTTCGAGGGAGGATGAACGTCAATCAACTCACAAAATCGTTGGAAACATTCTCTCGAGCTAAAACCCAAACTTTTGTAGGGAGATGGATTATCCACAGCACTTCGAAACTTCTACGAGAATGACGACTCAAACATATAGCACATTATCCTTCTTCGGGCTCTACAGCGGTCCGATTATTGCTACCCGTTGTTTCTGCTACCGCGTTCCGGAGAGGATCTAGGAGAGAGGATTCGTAGAGGAAAGGTCGCTGGAGAACGATACCAAACCACAGTCAGGCGCAAATGGATGTGTCCGATCGGAGCACGAATGCCCCTCCTCGTTGGCATTCGTGGCCGAAGAGCCAGACAAGGGGATGATGCTTTCGTACGATTAAGCAACAGCGCTCTGTGGATGCTCGGAGTTGTCTCTTGCCGACTTCCGCGGATGTTGAGCGATACGAGCGTCAACCGAAAGGGAGGAATGAAACCAAGAATCGTTTTGCGGAGGTCTATCCGCTGCTCTGTGTCTTCCTCGAGATCTAGCGTGAGAAAGGTTTCTGGTCGAAATCGAAGGGATAGCGCAGTCCGTCTCCTTTCCGAAAAAAGGGTGTCAATGATTCATTATGCCGGAAATCAGACGACAATCTACTCCGTCAGGCGTGCTCATCACATTGGAGACAGCCTCTCGACACTTGATGGGTATACAATCTTTATCTTCCTTCCTTTCTGGAAGGAAATAAACTCTCGAGCAAACTACTCGGGCTGGGCTCTCCGCAGTGTTTCGCGCGCGTCTTCCCGCAGGGAGTTCCCATGACCCAAAGTATTCCTCCCTTAAGACCGGGGAAGCGTAAAAAGGAGCGTTCTGACATGTTTCATATTTCGATCCTAAACGTGGTTTGCATCAGCGATTCTCGTCGCCCACCCACGCTGTTCATCTCCATCGGTATTGGCCCGAAATGTTGAGTGGCTTCAAAAAGCTCATCGTATCGTGGTTCATCCACGAAGATTCGCCATTCAGATGCCTTTGTTCCAGAGCACAAGGGAAGGCGTGTCATCGATCGCTGCATTCAATACGCTGGTGATAACCGCCACTGAACCCGAAACTCGTGAACAGCTTGCTCTTGGGCACCTCGATCGGGCGAATTGCGGACGGATGCACCCCGAGCATCCATCCGCGAGACTCAGGAAGTCACGCCAAGCATTCCACTTGCTGCCTACTCGAACGTGGCTGCTTGAGCAGACTCGAGTGATTGGGACGTCCTCGTTCCAGCTTTCAACCGTCCGCCTTCTTGGATCCGCAACCAAGACTAAACATTCAATGGTTCTGACTGGGTGAGATGACCGATGGTAAGCGAACGAGCTAGCGGAAGCCAGCCGTTCGGTGCGCCCGGTTCGGCGCCGAACTCGGCACTAATGAAAATTGTTGGTGGGAGGAATCGGATCGATGTCAAGTCGTCAGAATCAGAAACAGACAGTCTGCAAACGCTCCGTGGGTATGGACTAAATCTATTCGAGCGGAAAACTATTGAAAGCATCGGACACGCGAGCGACTCATCCTCGACGAAGCTCTCGGAGGGGAACAAAGTGAAGAGCCTCGTGATGTGATCACTCGTTCCAGACTTCGCAGATCCGGCTCAGGGAGTAGCTCTCATCAACTCTGAAACTCGGCTCATGCGACGAACTCCCATGGAGTTTCCGTCTATCAGAATATAGAACTCACATTGAGCACGTCGTCGAGGCGCTTGTGCCTCTGGTCGGTGTGGGCGACGAGGATGTCCCACTTTTCGGTCAGCTTTGTCACATCTCTCCGGATAGACCTCACGAGTTCTCGCTTGTCTTCATCCGCGTTCCCTCCGGGGGCCAGACCATTAGGACCGGTGGGACCGCCTACACGAGCTCCTCCGTTGCTGGCTCGTCGCTCGAACTCTGAAATGTGGGATAGGCCGTGGTTCCTCAAACAAACTCCTGGAACCTGGGGAAATTCGCCTGGAGACAGGGACGTCCCCCCAAGACTTCAATTCTCGAAAGATCCCGGCCTACAATTCCTGATCCATCTATTGGCCGCCTCTCTCAAATGAATATTTCCCCTCAATCTCGCTACGAGGAATCGGGTGAGCAGAGAACTCCTCGAAGAAACGTTGGACCTACGTTCTGGCGGTGTCATCTCTGAATTTCCTTCCCTTTGCAAGAAATTCCTCCCTGCCAACAAAGCGCTCTCGACGATCGGTCGCTTATCGTCCAACTGCACTCGGAAATTTCGGTGGTCGTCTTGTTGACGCATGATGGTCGCCACATCGCCGCCTGGAAACGGAATGAGTTAAGCTCCAGCTCCGACGGTTCCCATTTATTGGAATGGAAGTGGTATCTCGATCTCGATAGTCATCAAGCGATGCCCAAAATCTATACGAGCCTCGTAGTAGGGCTTGGATACGATCTGTCGGCGTGGAACCGATGAATTATTCACGTCTACATGTCACTTACCGATCTGAGGCTGGGCACCGAGCTCCGTTTCTTTCTTGACCACCCACTCGACAAGTTCTCTTAGCGAGAGCATAAGTTGCTGCCAATGGTCGGCCCCGCTTTCCAAACGCGTCCTGGGAAGGCCAAGAGGAAATTGGTTCCGATCACCCCGCATTGAATATCGCTCTCTGCATTCGGGTTCCGCCACACTCGAACGATCCAGCGTGTATCTTGTATATTTTTCGGAGCTCATGAGCTTGTGTATCGAAATGATTCTCGAATCAGGCGCATAGGTTATTGAATCGATTACATCACGATCAAGGGGGAGCATGTGTCTTACCGCAGAGAAACAATCCTCAGTCGGAGGTTATCCCATCGCGCGTTCATTTCATCGACTCTCGCTTTGATGTGCAGAGCTTCTTCGGATGGGGCATGGACCCCATGGATGAGGCTTTGACTTCGATCGCTTATGGTCAAGTGGAGGTCTCGTTGAGTATCGATTTCTCGTTGCAACTCCTGTAAGTTGAAATGTCACTCATTAATCCTTCAAGCTCGATGATCGGTATCGATAGTTTTCCATTTCATTCAGCATTCAGATACCTATGTGTATTCCTTCGTTCGTCATTCCTTCGTTCATAAAATCGATATCTTCTTGAAAATGACCGATTAGGTAATAGAGACCATTTGTGGTCGCCATCTCATAAACTCATAATGTGCTCTCTGCTCCGATGTGATTGATAAAGCCGGCATCAATTGCACCATCAGCAGGGGTATCCATCAGAACACGACGTTCATTACGATGAACATTCAGAGACTAATCAAGTTTACATAATCATTATAACTCGAGGAGATAGCGTCCCCGCCGGGAGAAGTCAACGAGCCGCGGAGCTGGAACCAGGAGACTTTTTTTTGGGATGGCTTCGAAAGAAGTTTCGGCTCGCAGACGGAGAATGGATTCGCCGGCGCGCGCGGTGTTCGGAGGGTTAAGTTGAGCGACATCGTTCAGCTAATTCGTCTACATTCTAGGGAGAGCATCAATTACTGCAATCGACTGTTAGGGTAATTCGTCTGTGAGAATTCAATCTGGAGAGAGTCCCGATCGATGACAGTCAATGCTTCAGGAGGCCGTCGACAAAGTGAGGAGCTTCACGATGAAATGCACGGCCCGCCCCGCAGCAAATTCAAAAGCGCCTAAAGGTCGGTGTAGGGCGGTACGTTTGAAAAGCGTCGACACGTTATCGGGCGAAATGGTGTGAGCGAAACTTGAGCACACTACGTCGGTACTAAGCCTTCCGGTGTGCTGAGGAGAAATGTTTCTGAGCGATAAGAGGAAGACATTTGAATATTGCGAAAAGCTTATGGGCAGTCTGTCGCTGAGTTCTTCCGAGAGAGTATTGTGGGCTCCACGCATTGCAGAGCTCCGAAGAACGTCCGATGCTCCCACCGCCGGGCTTCGTTTGGAGCGGGCGGATCCCAGATACGAGTTCGACGCTGCCTGGCTTCCTCGGAAAGGTACCGCCTGAGGGTCATGGGAATATGGCGCCATTCGAGAGGCATTAAAAAATACGGAACACCTCCTCGCCCATATCGAGGCCCACATTGCGCCTGGTTCTGTTACTCCGCTCGCACAGTCCCGCAGTCGGGATGGAAATTCTCCGACAGCCGGTGAGCAACTCGCTCCACTTGTCAGTAGATAAATATTCTCTCATCTCCGAATCTTGTGAGCCGTCAGCGGAATGAACGCTTCGATTGGTTTCGAGCCAGTGAATAAAGTGAGGCGTGTAATAATAACGAGGTGTCGCAGGGTAATCCCACTCGGGACTGGACGTGGTTGCTATGGAGAAGCTCGCTCCTTGTATGACATAAGTTGATAGAAAATCGGTGATTCCCGATCACCGGGCAGCCGCCCCAGCGGACTGAAGCAGACAGATGTCAAGATCAGAAAAACGAATGAATGATTAGATGCGAAAGACATGGCCCACTCGAGGGCCCGGACATCTCCATCACAATGAGCAGAGCCACCAACAAGCAAGCGCTTCTACGTCTTGACCATCCGACAGAAGAGTCTCCGGATCGACTTCTCCGTCGACGAGATCGCCGCTCGCCTGCGCCCCGCTAGGTGAGCTCGATCACCGGCGATTCGCTTGCTTCGTTCTGCAGTGGGCTTTTCTTTAATAATTATCCCCTCAGAATCGAGAGACGGGTGAAACAAGTTCAGCTGCGACGGCTGTCGCACCGATAGCCTCCAGTGAAGTCGGCAGCTCGGCGGGAAACTGAGGTAGCATGATCGGATTGTGAGTTCTATATGGGGCGATGCGGAACCTCGGGCGATTTTCGTTGGAGAGCCCATGGGTTTCCCCGTCCCGCTCCGTGCACTGGGAGGAACGCCGAATTTTCCACGGAACCCCGAGCGTAAATTATTCCGTGGCGTCATGGGTCATCGAGGGTGTTCATAAGCAGGAACACCTACAACTTCTTGACCAGAGAGATGAACGAGACAACAGAACCTTCATCCGTCGGACGCTTGGTGAAGGGCTCATACTACGGCAGTTCGGTGAGAACGAACAATGATTGCGAGACGAGAGCGATTGCGCTCAGGCGGGAGATGAATTTCCATCAATTTCAATCAGACAGGAGACACCCTGAATTCGGCTGACAATGAGTCCGGGGAACAGATTCGCGGTTGCATGGCGTGTAAGGTGCCCGTGTTTTTAAGGAAAAACAGACGAGACAGAGAGCGGAACCGAAGCGGACTGCTCCGACTTCCAGTATTGCGCTGCGCAATTCAGAGGAAATACACTTTCCGAAAACCTTCGATTCCGAATATGGCTGCTAATGAAGTTTTTCTTTTGGCCACATTCGTGAGTCGAACGAAGTCGCACCGATATGTTCGGAACCGACATCGTGATTCAAAGGCTCGGACTTGAAAATTGGACTTCACGGAAAAACGATTTTTGTGCCGACGATTGTTTGACGTTCCAGTCGTCGTTGTATCCGCTCGCTATGGTTAGCGAACGGTAAAGTTCCAGCGTTTCCTGCCCACCACCACGGTGCGATTATTTGCGCGAAACCTTTTTTCATGTATTTTCCTCGACTTCGACGCTTTTTCGGGGGGTAAACAAGAAAAGATGACGAAAGAGAGAGTCGTCGGCCCGAAAAGCCGTTCTCTCGATGCGAATGCCGCTATGTATTTCAATCCCGCGGCAGTCTGGTCTGCTACAGAGAAGCCCCACCACGGGCCCTAGAGCAGAGGCCGAGCAGACTTGTGGGCTCATGACGCTCATCGTTGGTGTGGCCTTGCTGGCAAAGAACATCGCTGGATCCCAGTGACCACAGTCGACGAGATACAGCAATGAGACTTACACACGACGACGGATCAGTCGGCACTTCTTGTCGCTCCTTATGTCAAGAACATGAGAACGAACTTTCGAGAACTGGCGTCACGGGGACATGAATCAGCTCGTCCACTACGAGCGACGGCTCACATCGCACGGAGTGAAAGTTCTTCCCCGCTTCCGGCTTGAGATTCCCGGAAAATTGCGGGCAGACCCTGTGTGGAGCGAATCTGGATGGCGATCGCGGACGAAATCCGCACGACCCGATTCTGATTCCGCTCAGCGACTGACGGATCAAAAAGTCCAGATCAATCGTTCAGACGACATTCATGTATGCATGCCGTCAACCAGATGAATTATCGAACCACACTAGCCTCGGAGCGCAAGCGTATCGATTCCGGAATCAGGGGACTAGGCGCATTCCTTCGAGAAAGTAGGCTTCCGGCGCCTCTTCACTGCAAACGCTATCTCGCCGTCGCCGTCAGGAGCTGACGTCAGCTCAGACCACCGGGACGCGTCAACGGTGAGTTACGGGTTGCATCGTTCGTTCATCCGTTCTTGCCAGCGCTATCAATTCAGTCGGGAGCTCTCATTCATTCGTCGCTCGTTCCATCAGTCGAATGTCGAATTTCTACGTACCTACTAATTACTGTAAGGAGACAGAGCGTACAGAATTTCATGGGAGTACGTGGCGTGATCAAATGGAGACTCGCTCCATGGTCGGCAGACGTTCCGGTATGAGACTCGAAGGACTCAGGAGAGGAGAACTCATTGGAAAAAAACTCAACAATGATCGATTCCTGGAGAGAGGAAACTTTCCCACCGATAGTCGCTGGGAGCCAATGCACATCCCATGCAACCAAGCCTCAGAAGATCTATATGGAGCGAATTCATTCACGGAGACAATTTCTGAGAGGAAATCGTTCGAATAGAGGAACCGGCTGGAAGGGAATGAGAAACGGATTTCGGCAGTCACCAGGGTAGGCTTCAATCCAGATGTTGGCGAAAGCCCTGCGAACTTCATGATGTCCGAGTGCGTCTGAGTGTGCCCAACTCTTTTTACAACAGTCACCGGAGTTCACCCCGATATTATACTCCCAGTCAACGCCAGATCATCCGCGGCTAGCCCGATATGCAATTTACCGACCCAAATTTTCTACTCTAATTCGAGTGGAATGGCAATTCATTGATCGGTCGATCCGATGAGAATCGGAACTCCCTTGATGGTTGGCAGATTTCGCATTTCCTTGCGTTTCCGCATTTTCGGATCGACCGCCTCGCACTGGACGATGCCTACCCAATTTGGAGTGGTCGGTAGCCGCAGCGAATGAGGAGAGGCCGCGGTTTCCGAGTGCGTTCGTGTGGCTCAGACATGTGTGCGTGAGCGCCGGAGCATAAATCTCCGTTAAGAAGGATTCCGTGCATTCAAGATAGTCGCATTTCTCGAGTCCACAGACAAATCGACCGGACAGTCAATGTAAAATAAGCACTCGTGAAATATTACGATCACAAATTATACAGAGCCGGGTGGGGAAATTCCGCTAAGCCAGAGTCAAGTGGAGTGGAGAAGGACTCCATTCAACGCATAGCGAACGCGGGAGATCTATTGTGTTTGTCGGAATGCTTCGACTTCTGAACATTGCTCATTGCGTTTCTTGCTTCTCCCCATGTGGTCCGTCTCAATCCGTATCGGAAATACGATCCTTATTAGCTCCTACTCCTTGGCGGAGGGTCGGAGTTTCAATGCCTAGTTCCGAGACGAATCGAAAGTGGAGCGGAATCAGAATGATTCCGAAACTGAGTTTCTGGCTCTTAGGGAGCATATATGATGCCACGTCATTGAACGGAAAGATGGAAGCTCCTGAGTAGAACTTATTATTCATGATAGCTTCCGCCGATCTGTTGGGCGAAGTATAAGCAGAATGGGGCCTACACCCCTTTCAAACTTTTGAGCGAGTCTGTATCGACAGCCGCCTACGCAGGCGGAATAAATAGATAGATGAGCGACCAAGCGGTCCTGCCGATCCCGCTAATTGTCGCATGGGACCGGTGTAGCGCTGACAAGCGGTATGAAGTAAACAAGCTCCACGCGGGATACTTCTGCCAATCTTAGGAATAGATGGACCGACTGGCTGCGGAGCCTGATTATAGCTTGTTAGTTTTGTCTCATCACAATGACGT